TAAATGCTTCCGTGTCATTTCATGTTTGTATAAACGAAAATCTGGAAGTAGTGAAGCGGTTATGTGGTTGACACAATGCCGTCTTGCAAGCCACCATAACAATTTTAACCTATTATTATTCAGGAAATTATTCCACTCCTATTTGTTCTTTTATGGTGGCAATTCGCTGAACTCTTACAAATTTTCTAGTCATGCATTCCTTCGACCCCTGGTTCACGCCAATAAAAGGGACGGTATTTAGTAGTTAATGAATTTTCTTGCCAAACATTTTAACATCATACTTATCTTTCCGCTGGATCACGATGCACAGGTGTTCGAGATGCGCTTCCTCACTATTGGATTAAACGAAAACATCTTCTACATAAACTAATAAAAAATTAAGATCACCGGATTTCAATTCTGTCGGAGACTGAATCTCAATTTAAGACCGTGGATATCTTAGACGTAAAAGATTTTTTGACTAGGTCTGAAGAACGACGAGTAAAACGAGTGTATTTTTTTAAAAAAACTTACGCTACAAATTAGATTCATTCCAGCAATCAATTTCTTACTTTTCCACATTTCCTCGAGTTCAACGCTATTACTTTGGTATCTTGTACATTTTGCTAATTTGGTATAATGAGCACAATAATTTGCGATCTACGCGGTGTTGTACGTCCGATACACATTAACACACATGTGTCATCGTCGGAACCCACCAGCGTCGTAAAAAAGACATATAAAGGAAGCCATCGTATTCAGTGGTAGCCCTGTACCATACAAAGTGGTTTTCATAATTTATACAAGAACGTCGTGATAAATGCGTGTAAAGAAATTTTGCCAAGTAGATTGCCAATAGCCGCGAGTGCTTGAGCAGGATAGAATGACGGGGAGAAGTAAGATCACAATGCGAAGCAGTCCCTGAAATTGGTACAAGTGAAGGACTCACTCTTGTTTATGCTGGCATGTAATGACCAGGATGGCAAGATATTAATAAGAAGAAGCAATCCAAGATTATGATAAGGTAAACGACCAGTTTTGTGCACGGTGTCACTTCATTGCACGATGCTGAATACTATCCAATTAAATTTAAATACTTCGAATCTTAGCAATTTAGTTGGCAGATGGGTTTTGAACCGTTTTAATGCATGATTCGAAGTGTGCGAAGCAATTTTATCGTTCTAGAAATTACTTGTAAGTAGGGGGGCATTATCTGCCATAAAAAAGAATCAAAAAGAAGAAAGCAGATGGTGGTCCGCACCGGTCACTACGACAAGTAAGACGTCGTCGATGCTCCGGAGAGAGTGTGCAACGGTGGATCGTATGCCGAGGTCGCCCAAGCTTCATCTGTTCCGTTACGTACGCTGTTTAAGAAGGCGAAGGACCTACAAAGCGGGATCACGATTGAATGGCTGCGCCGCGGCACGAAGCCTGCAATTTCATCAGATCTATAGCACCACATGTTGGAGTGGATTGCCTCCATGCAGCGCGTGGGTCTACCTCATGCCCGCATAGAGATTATTAAGCGCGCCACCATGATATACAATCCTCTGCCGAATCACACAAGATCCAGCCAGTTGACACAACTGACGTCTGGATGGTACGCGCGCTTCCTTGGTTGCCACCCGGCGCTCGTACCACGAACTGCGCAGGGCATTGGGAGAGTGCGAAACGCCCCGGAAAAGTCGTCGGCTGACGTAATTTCTAACACGATTTCCAAGCTGCTCATCCAGAATAGGATTGACTTGTCGCGGGTCTTCAACATGGACGAGACTTCGTTTACGCTGAAGCTTACGACTCGCACCGTCATTGCCATTAAAGATTCTAAAAACGTGTGGATGTAGGAGATTAAGCCCGGTTTCCACATGTCCGTGGTGGCAGCCGTTAGTGCATCTGTTTTCGCTGTCCCTCCCCTCATCATCATCCCTAGCGTTAGCCAGCTGAAGACAGCGCTTGCAGCGCTCTCTATCGACGGCGAGTGCGTCACAGGTGCGCCAAAGGGATTCAGCAATGCAAAGATCATAAAGGACTGGTTAGAGATCGTTTCTATCGTGCTGAAAGCCCAGGGGGTCCAAAAGCCGGTCATTTTCACCTAGGACAACTCTTCCACGCATGAGTATATTAATTAGGTTTTGCAAAACCTTTTTATCATTATATTATTTCTCATTATAACTTTAACCGAGTATTTGTTTTCAGAGTCGGTGAACTTCTGCTGCGAAAATGGCATACTAATGATCGCCTTGCCAGCAAACGCTAGGCACATCTTCCAGTCGCTTGACGTGGTCGTGTTCAAGACTTTTAAAACAATCGTCCGCGAGCGTCTACAGCTTCAAACGTACGAAATGGCGGACCCAGCGCTGTCCATACAAGCAGCCATCTAGATTGCGTGCTATGCATACCGCAGCGCCATCATCAAGAACTCCAGCAATGTAATTGAAGGCTTCCGGGGTACTGGACTATACCCCCTTTCTCTTATTCAACTTCGCAAGATTCTCGGTGAGTAAAATGCTACTTTGGCAATGCATGCTGGCTTGTTCGCCGACCGAATTTGGTCTCCACAGTCCAGAATGCGATCCCCACTCTCCCTCCAGAGCTTGTACACAAGCAGAAGAAGCGTAGAAAACGATCGACATCGCAGGCAGGCTGGTCGCCATATAAGTGCTAGCAGAAGAATCCGGCCAGTAGTCGTGCACTAAATGTTACCCAGTAAAATGGGTTCAAATTTGACTGATTTCCTTCAACTCGCAGAACTTTGTAAATTAATTCTATAAAGCTGAAACGATGTGGGTAAAAACCGCCGCTAAAATGGCTTTTGCAGTATTTTTATATACCCAGATCGTTTTATTTACGTTCCTGGGTAAAACCTGCGAGCTGATCCATATTCGTGCATTGAATTGGTTGTTTACAATGCACTGGTTTGAGAAAAAATGCCTTGAAAAGCAGGATCATATGCTTACGTCCCACCATCAATCATCTTTAGTTCTCTACCAACCAACTAATGTTCTCATTACCGGAACTCATCGTAATTGGTACTATCTGACGTAAGCGGTCGGCCAAGCTCTACCATTACCATCTTGCATTTCTCGAAGTAGTGAGAAATAAGCTTTCCGTGTGAGAGCTGTCTTAGACCACATCAGACCCACTATATCTTAAGCACTGTATTTAGGTTACATAAACATCAGCGCACACATTGTGTCTTGAGAGAGGCGTGTGTGCACCTCGGCAAACAGGTCACTGCTGTGCGCCTAGACGATAAATCTTCATGCCACATCGGGAAAAAAGAGAAACGCAATTGTAACGAGTAAATATGAAGGTGCGTACAGCTTCAAACAACTGAAGCAGCATCATATTTACGGTATAAACTCTTATTCCGCGCATCGCCTGGACCGCCATACCTATTGCAGTCGACCTTCGATGAGGAGCAGTGTAACGGGGTTAAACGTCGACTGGTAGTCGACAATAGTTGCGGTGCACACAAGGGATAGGATCCGATTTAAACTGATATTAGAGCACATTATCAATTGTTGAAGACTGATGTCTGTCAACCGTTGATTACGAAATCTTTTGAGAGGTTTTATTCAGGACATTAGTTAGTAGGGTAAGTACGTTGTTTTAAGGTGTTCTTTTAGGTTAAAAGAAGAAACAAAATTCAGTTCCCATTTTGATCCGATAGACACATGCCTCTTTGAGACGTCTTGTGATCGTGGGGGAGATAGCAACGCCTTGTCAAGGCATCTACTTCTTGTGCACTCTGTGCGTTGATTCTCTAAATCGTTTGGTCCCCCTGGAACAGCGACCGTAAGCTCTCTGATCTTGTTGGCTGTTTGAGTCGGGTTCTCTGAACCTCAAGTTGCTCATTGAGCGTTGAAGTATTCCTCTGATTCAAGAAGCTGTGTAGCTCCGCTACACGTAACGAGAACTGGTGTATACGGCGTATTTTGGAAGGATCTGTTTACTCTTCGACGTCATTTCAAATTAGGTCTTATTGACATGCGGCAGTATCCTCCCCTTGATGACTACGGCTAATGCCATCGCAGACTGCTGTGCAAGTCCTGGTTTCGGTGCTATTGGAACTATTGCAGATGTTGTAGTGCCGTATTTTTGAAGCCTTGGCTGTCACTAAGTGTCTGCATTATGTTTATTTGCACCGCTCACCTTCAACCGCTTATTAGTCAATCGCACGCTCGTGTGTGAATTGAACAGACGTTGAAGACGCTTGCACTGCTTTACCTCGTCAAAAAGTGACAAATTGTTTCCATTCACTCTCCAGGTAGAGAATCTGCCAGATACCTCATGCTTTGGCGTGCATGGTACACCCTGCGTGACTCACGTGCGCACAGAAGGCAGCTGCTAAGAAATCCGGCTATCGTGTAACGCACACTCACTAACAACTTCCAATAATTTGGAGTAGGATGCGTCCACCGAGGTAGTTCATGGTCGCGCGGGAATGAAGTGTAGCCGTTATGGACAATGAGATTGAAGTAAGCTCTAGTGCTCGTCCAGTAGGAAATCCAGTCAAAACCTGAATCCAATTTAGATTAGCAGTCGAGGATAGTGTGAACAAGCAAATGTATGATGCCGTTATTACGCTCTAGCTTGAGTACGGTGTGTCTGGTCAACACGGTTCGTCTTTACTCTTCCAGTCTTTGTGAGGTCCACACTACTCGACTTTTACGCGTTTGTAGGCGTAGCGCATTGCGATAGTTTAGACCAGGCAATCAAAGTACTTGCGTGTTAGCAGCACAATATCGTGGTGTAAACCAAATGAGTAACGGGTACAAACGACTATTCAGATGCCACCAACTCGTCAGTAACGCTCCATCTCGTTTAATTTGCAACGCTCTCTGTATGAATAGCAACACAACATCCATATTTATACACGTGCTCCTTTTGCATCTGTATGCTCAAGCGTATAGTATACATCGCCGGTTCCTTTTTCGAGGTTCGACGATTTGGTGCACTGTGGTCGGTCAGCTCGTGATCGTTTGGTACATATTTCATATTCCCTTTTTTCAATCATCATGACGGTCACAGCAGACGAGATGCGCGGCGGTCTGTACGAGATCCTGGGACTCGAACCCGCAGCGAACGAGCGCCAAGTGGCTCGTGCGTACAAGAAGAAGTCGATTCTGTACCACCCCGACCGCGGCGGAGACGGTGTGTAGCAAACAGGTCTGAGAATCCCTTTGATCGTACCGTTATCTGATTCGTCTCTTTTTTTTGATGTTTTTGTTGGTGTTTGTTTGTATGGTCCGTCAGTGCAGAAATTCCTCGAGTTGACCCGTGCTCGTGATATTTTGCTGGACCCGAAGAAAAAAGAGGCCTATGACAAGAAGTTGTCGCATGAACTACTGGCCAAGAAGCAGCAGCGGGCACGGGAGGCAGAGCTCGATGGCAAGCGCCGACAAATGCGAGACGGTGCGTGGGAGGTTTGGACTCTTTCTCGGGCTCCTCAGGCTGATAAGATGGCGGAACGCCATCGGTCGCTTCGCTGTTGACGAGTTTCTGACTGTTGTTGGTGTTGCTGGCTTGTGATAGAGCTCTTGAGGAAGGAGCAGCACTATGAGCGCAGCAGAAAATCCAGCGTGAAGCAACAACAGGCAGAGCTGACGAGACTTCGGGAGAAGGCGCTGGCACGCCAACAAGGCTTGCAAGATCGTTTGGCACGCGAAGCCACGCGGCGGTCAGAGCAAAAACATAGTCAGGAAGTTCACGGCGCGCCAAAGTCCCAGCGGACGGTGACGTTTAAGTGGGACAAGAAGCGGCATTCGCACTCGGACGACACGCTCAGTCGAGAGCTCCGGTTGTATGGTGAGATCAAGACCATCAGGATGAAAACGTCCTCGGCAAGAGTCGAATTCTGCGAAGCGGCTTCGGCTGCACATGCTGTCCGGGTTGAAGCACACAAAAGTTGCTGGCGAGAAGTGTCGATTCAAGGTCACATTATCGAGACAGATGGGTTCACGTCTGCAGAGGATCAGCCAGCAACAACTTCGAGGTGCAATGTGCCAATGCTGCCTGAAGGACCAATCTCGCTGCACGAACACCTAGCGTTCGAAAAGTCGGTTCTGGCCATCTTACGAGAAAAGGCCAAGCTGCAACAAGAGCGAGAGCAACAGCAGACTCGTGTGTGATGGATCTACCGCACCGCCAGACACGAAACGCTTGACATCACACGCCATTGTGTTCCTCCGACAGACTATCGATGTCGTTACGGCGTACTGAGTTAGCGTGCTCTGCTGTTTGAAGACGCCGTTGTCCGACGTAGAAAATCTACCCACACGGACGAAATGGCCACGACTTCTTGACCCTGTCCCGGCGGCACCAGCAAATGGCATCCAATAAGCCAACGATCCTCGCGAACGTTCAGCCAGTTGCTCACGCACCACGTCATTGAGATGCTCGATATTTTGGCTCAATATGTACACGTTCGACACGGCTTCTTGCATCTCCTGCAGCAATAGAGTATACAACAACAACAACAACAACAACAACAACAACAACAACAACAACAGCAGCAGAGCTGTTTTAATCATTCCTCTTCGTCTCCGCTGCATTCAATTGAAGTCATAAAAAACACACCTCTCGAATCTCGTCTTCCATGCGCTTCTTCTCTCTCTGGAACCACTCCTGCCCTCGGCATCAACAGCCACCACACGGCGTCAGTGCATCGCAGTGCCAGCACACACACACGACTGATTCGTACGTACTCGATCAGGTCCGCCGCGCGACTCGCGTCTCAATTCGTTCATCGTCCGCCCGTACAAAGCGAACAACTGCACCAAACCCAGTTTAAAACGTCACGAAAAAAACACGCACCCACTTGAAACCATCAGCTGCACACACAGATCGGCTCCTCTTTCGTGTACCCCATCGCCGCACCACACCATCGATTTAATATTCGCTCCCGCGACCCCATTGCTTCCCCAGCGCCCCCGTCATGACCGCGACGCTCGTCCTCGCGCTGCTTCTGTGCGCCGCCTCGTCGCACGCCGTGCACTTCGACGTCCGCAGTCAAGCAGAAAAGTGTCTCAGCGACGAGATCGCGCACGGCAGTCTCGTGGTCGTGCACTACAACGTGCTGGGCGGCGTCCGCGGCCAGTCGGGTGTCTCGCTCGTCGTCACGGACCCGCAGCGCAAGTTCCTCAAACAGGACGAGAACATCGACACGTCGAGCGACGCGGTGCACAAGTTTTCGTTCACGGCCGGTGCTAGTGGCGTCTACACTGTGTGCTTTGCCAACAGCCACCGCGACAAGGCAGCGCGCGTCTTGCTCGAGCTCAAGCACGGCGTGGAAGCCAAAGACTACTCGGAAGTGGCCAAGCGCGAGCACCTCATGCCCGTGGAGAAGGAGCTCCGCAAGATGGAAGACACGGTCGAGGAGATCCACCGCGAGATGCTGTATTTGCAGGCGCGGGAAGCTGCGATGCGCAACACGAACGAGTCGACGAACGCGCGCGTGCTCTGGTTTAGTTTTCTGTCGATTCTTGTGCTCGTGGGCATGGGCGTGTGGCAGGTCTTGTACCTCAAGCGGTTCTTCAAGAGCAAGAAACTCATCTAAGCAGCAGCAGCCGACGGACGGACGGACGGACGGATGGACGAGCGGGACGTGCGAGGCGGTGGCTGAGTTGCTTGTTGGCTGACGGATGCATGGATGTCGGATGGATGGAGACGAGTGTGGTGTGGCTGGACAGTGACCGTACAACGAGGCGTGAGGATCGATGCGCGTCATTTGTCCGGGCGGAATGTAGTTATCTGTATGTGGACGGTGAAGGTCACACGCGTGTGTGAGCGTTCGTTGGCCGTTCTTGTCATGGAGTAAGTGAGCAGATACGATACGGGCATGTGGACGTCGGACGCCTTATCGTCGACTCATTGGTTGCTATCGCTTTTTCCTTGCTGCACATGAGGGCGGGCGGGAGCAGTCACGCCTCGCTGTTCTTACTCTTTGTCATTCTGTCGGCACTTCTTCCTTTCCAGTGCGAACAAGCTGCACTACCATTACACGATGGTTGGTCTGAATAGGTGCACTGACATTCGCAGGGTCGGGCTGGTGCTTCAAGCTGCGGAACGGGTTCTGCTTCGCTCGGCATCGAAACTGCACTTCATGCTGCTTTAGTGCCTGGCTAGTTGCTACCAAGTCGTGCAACGCAGCAATGTCACATTGTTGGTCTTCGAGACTGAACGACGTGATCAACACTGGCTTGCACGAAATGAGCACAGTCTCCAGAGTAGGCGCCCACTTGTCACGCAACTGAGGGTGCCCGATTCCTGGATTATACAACACGAATGCATCGGGCGTACCCCGCGATCTTGGCTCGAGCTCATGATAGAGTCCACTGACCATCTCCAATCGAACACGCTCAGATTCCTTCTCCATCACCGTCTTTCTCCGTGCCGACATCACTGGCACATGGTCTCCCACTAGCTTGATATCAAGCACTCGGTCAGGAGCAAAGAAGGCCAGTTCGTCCCACAAATACCGAGGCATCATAGCTTCCGCCCGTGCTCCAATCACATGGAGCTCCACGCTTCTCTCTCGGCTCTCTACCGTTCTCTGGTCCATCAACTCGGGCAAAAACTTGCAGAGTGTCAAGACATAGGAATAAGCCGACGACAGCAGACGCAGAGCTCGTGGATCGTCCCGCCAAGGCGTCTCCGGGTCATACAGTGCGAAATAGTCGCTCCAGGACATCAGCTCTTGCTCGCGCTTCCACACACCCGCACGTCGACTTGGCTGTATAACTATCAAAGAGAATACACAATCAACACAATCGCAAAAAAGCGATTTTTACATCATGCTTGGAAAATACGCTATCACTCGACCCCAAAACACTTGCCAAGAGCTCCTCACTCAACCTTCCGAAAAGAGTCGGGCCGCATCGGCTGTTGCAGCGTACTCTGCATCCTCTTTCATGGATCCGGCGAGCGCTGAATGAGCATGCGGTGCGCGCTGCTGGCGGCCAGAGAAGGAGCGCACGGTGCTAAGCACCAGCGGCCGATGGCGCGTCAAGAAGAGCTGCTGGCGCATTGCAATAAAGCAAACTGAGGCAGAAGGAGGTACAGTGTACCACCAGACTGCGGAGGCGGGAGTTCGCATGTATTATGTTTGACAGGGAGGAACCACTCGCACGCCGAGTTGTATCATACACGTTCGTGTCATTTAATGTGCTTACGCTTAACATGCAAATTTCCTTTCTTGCTTCTTGCCGACGCGAGTACTTGACGCATCGGACCACTTCCTATTGTACTTGTTCACTAACTTGACTTGAAATGAAAACATACCTCGCTTGCTCGCTCGCGCAACATTGGTCGAGGAGTCGCTGCCGTCGGGTGGGTGGATGGGTCTTGATTTACATATCGGCAATGTACTTGAGCGCGACCTCAAACATTGTGAGGAAGTAGCCCACCTCGCCCAGCATCAAAGACGGGTGGATCATAGAGCCCAGCAGCTCCTTCGTTGCCAGCGGTCGCTTCAACCCGCTCTTCACCACGACGTAAATGTGGATAGGGAGGTACTCGTCTGCCGTCAGCGCCGAATTGTCATGCCACTCCAGATTCTTCTCTCCACAACTCTTGAAAATCTCGAGGGCAGAACGAAGCAGCTCCTGGATCTTGTCCGTAGGCAACGTCCGTTCATCAATCATGCTCAAGTGGTGGCATGACAGTCCCCAGTCTTCGTCGGACTGCAAGTGCTCCGGGATACCACTATCAATTTGTGATCTACACCTCAAGCGCTCAATGTTAAACGCCAAACGCTGTTCGACGTCTTTATCGACGGTCTTGCCCACGAGAAAATTCACCTGGTTCTCAAGCGGTACCAAAACAGTGTCTTCGACAGCGTGATACACACAGTCGTCCAAAACGGACGACACGTCGGTGCTGTGGCCCAGCAGCGACAGCGTCTCCGCGTACTGGGGGTCCAGATTCTCTGCAATGTACTTCTCAATGCTAGTGACCGTGTTGCGCAAGTCTTTGACTGCTGACGCTGCAAGCATCGTCCCCTCCGCTTCGTTACATTCCGAGTCTACCGCCGTTTCAATCGTTGCTACGCGGTTCCGGAATACGTGCAGAAATCGATAGCACGTACTGCCCTCGATCGCACCGTCACAATTGAGACGCCGAAACAGATCGTACGCCAGCCACTTGGGCTCCACTGGCTCGCCCGTCGTGTCAATCTTTTCCAAAGACGATACAAACTCCGCCGAGCACATCTCGAGCTGCAACTCCATCAAAATGCTGCGCTGTAGACAAGAATGCGGCTCCAGAGCTGCCAAGTTTCTCAAAAACACCTCAATCTCGCCGATACCACGAGTGACGGCTGCAGCGCTCGCTGGTCGAAATCGTCGTCGAGGGAACGGCAAGTCCAGCAAAAAACGCAAGTAATCTTTCTCCTCATCGTCAGCTTCCGGGGCCCGTCGAATCATTGCTCGGATCTTACGCCGGAGAAAGTAAAAGTCACTAAACCGTTTCTTTGTGATCCAGAACACACGCGTGTGCAGGTCCACGACATGCAGCACGTATTCCGTGACAGGCGGCATCGAGCCCGCCGCCTCGGAGCGCACCACGCGCACAGAAAAGCCCGGACGCAGTCCCGTGTATGTCCACTTAGTATACTGCTCCAACGTCATGCTGCGTGCCCGTTTGTGCACTCTTCCCTTTGACGGCGAAAACACCAGCGGCGGCATCGGCGGCAGAATGCCAGCACCAGAGGCCGAAGAAGCAGAAGCGGCACCGGCCATCGCTGCAGCTGTTGCTCCCGACGAAGACGGTGGCCTTGTGTCCTGACACGCGACAGCGTCTGAATCGATCACTTGTCCACGTCTCACGTGACTCACTTTGTCCTCACTCTCCCTGGGTCCTGCCGCCACACTCTTCCCCGACTTCCTCGACCTGGACTGAGTACTTGAAGTACTGTCTCCTCGCTCGCAGTCCAGCTGGAACCGATCGTCCTGCTACCAGCATCACACCATCTTCCAGTAAGTCTTCCATCACAACATCACCAGCACCAATACAACACGAACAACAACAATAACAATAACAACAACCGAAAGCACGCTTTCGCACCTTGTTCGTGCCATGGCTGAAAATCGAGCGAGAAATGTGCTGCAACAAGCGGCTCTCGTTGCGCGACGACATGCGCGCAGCCAGTTTCCACATGACGTGACCCGCGAGCGTCGACGGCGCGCCCGCGGCAGCGGCTGCGGCGCGCTCGTCCACTCCCGACGGCTCTTTTGTCTGTGCCAAGTCGTGCAGCGAAAACGTCGGGGCCACTGGCGCCAGCATCGGCTGCGCGGGGAACGTCTTGAGCAGCCGCCGCCAACCGGCGCGGCCGCTCTCCTCCTCTTCTTCCGTCAAGAACTGCAGCTCGTCGCACTCGATCTCCGTCTCACTGCCCGTGCGCTGGTCGCACTGCCGTCGGGCGACATTACTCATGTCGACACTGGACGTCTGTCTGCTGTGCGAGAAGGTCGGGCGGGGGCAACACGCGCGAGAGAGAGAGAGAGACGGGAGACGAGAGAGATGAGAGAGAGGTGAGAGAGAGAGAGAGAGAGAGAGAGGTGAGAGAGAGGTGAGAGGACGCAGTACTGCGCGACGACGTTCAGTCGGCACACTGCAGTGGTGCGATTGTCGCTCGAGCGGCTGCTGCTGCGACTGCTGCTGCTGCTGTCTGTAGCGGACAACGGCCGATGCTTTGTGCTGCTGACCTCCTGCGGGGGCGCGAGCGAGCGAGCCAGAGGCGCGGCAGGAGGAGAGGCGGGCGAGACTGGACTCACGTCGCAGAGACGAGCGAACGACGATGGCTTGGGGCGACATTCGGCGGCTGGTCGACCTTCGTGTCACCTTTGCCCCGGCTCTGAACGCGTGGCGCACAGACTCAGATTTGCGCCAACGAAAAGGGCGGACCACAATAATCACGCCACAAGGTGTCCCAGAGCCCGACGACCACGTGGCGCATGGAGCAACTGAGCAACTGAGCGAGAGAGAGGGAGAGAGGGCGACCAGAGAGTGAGTGAGTGCCTTGACAACTGCGCAAAAATCGAAACATAGAAACGAGTCAAGACGCAGACTGCTATGCGGCTGCGCTACTCATTTGAGTAGCGGTTTCGTACCCCGTTGAGGGCTCGTACAGTAGCGGACTTTGCTGGACGAAAGGGCGGAAGATAGCGGCCGTTTCCCTCTTTGTTCTTATCGACACTCGAGCGGCAGTCAAGTGACTGACGCGCTCTGATTTGTCATCTAAGCGATTCCCATTGTGTAACCGATCGTGCGATCTGTATCCACACGCCGTCGTGTCTCTATCCTGTTCGATCTGCCCGCTGCACTTGAAGCAGAAGCGCAGTTGACTGAGGCCCCGCGACAGCGTTTCCTCCCTCCGTGGCTCCGTTTGTTCCGCGCACGAGAACACTGCGGTGAAAATTTTGATCGGCGACCGGAACGTGCTACTGCGGTTCTTTGCTCTCTTCAGGATGCAAAACGAGCTCCTCCTGTTCCGTGTGACCTCGAGACATGTCTGCGGGCAGGCGACAGAACCTGGTCAAAGTCGGGACGAACGGGCTCGTCTTCGACTCGTTCGATGGCGTGGGGCACATTGGAAGACACTTCCGCAACATGGTCGTGGTCGCATTGTGCGACAGACGACTTCATGTTGAGTTGAATATGCAGTGTGTACAACTCAGGATCGAGGCGCATAAACAGGAGAGAGGGACCAGTTGGAGGCTCCTCGATCTGTCTATACCAGCACGACTTCCTGGCCTTTCCCTCTCGGCCTTGTCGGGAGGTGCGACAGCCACGTAACGCAGCCGAAAGCACAGCGTTTGAACAAGCGCTCGCGGAAATGCTCGACACGAGTGAGACTTTACGGCAGACGCAACCAGCGGACACGACAAAGTAGGGCTCGTGCGAGAATGACGTGCTGCAACAAGTAAGCGCTTGTCTTTGGGTCGCGTCTCGGTACTCACTGAGGTTGTGAAGACACGCTAGAATGTGTACGACATCCGACGACACGTGTGACACCTGCTCGCTGAATCATCTCTACCCCAATGACGACGGGACAGTAATCTGCGTGTGGACAACAGCCCGTCAGGCAAAGGGCGTGCGTGAGCTTGCAATTGCTTTTCGACAATACAGTCGTGTGTAACAACAGTGAGAGACTTTATCCCCGGCGGGGACAGCGTCTTCTGGGTCTCTTCGGTCAATCGGTTGGCCAAACGCCCGACGTACTACTGAAAGTGGCTACGCTGTAACGCGTAAGTAACCACGAGAGAGATGCCCACGTTGTATAATCTGCCGAATGCGTTAGGGCCTAACGTAGCATCGTGCCCACGCTTGAGCGGATGTATGCCAAGCACTTGTGGCGACTTACAGGCGCTCTTGCTCGACAACGGTATCAGAACTACCTCCAAAGGCATCTGAGGTGCGATATGCGCAGGATCGACGCTCGCAAAAGTATGGCGTAGATAGAGGTTGGCATTCTTGCAGTGTCGGCTTCCTTTTGTTACCTGAGCATGAAGCCACGTGGTAGAGCTCGGAGCTGCACGACTGCAGGCAGATTGACGTCCAGTTCGACGAGACGTAGGCAGTAGAAGCTGAGCGCGTGAGAGGCTGTCTGCAGGTCGATCCGAGACTAGTAAGCAATGCATCGACGCTGTGCTTGCGCCAGCGCTCACCTCGTCAGTCTCGTGTGAGATGGAAAGAGTTGCTGGCTGCTGCTTTGCTTTACCTACATGTAACCCAGTCACTTGCGTCAGCCTCATGCGGCCGTAGGAATGACGAATGTCAGCAGATTCTGCAAGTGTGCGCAACTCTCTGGCTTCTGAGGTAGGGCGACGGATCAGTGGGGTCTAGTCGATGCTTCCATCACGAGAGCTGAGCTCCAACGATGCGGAGACTCAGCTCGTATCATTGTCCGCTTAAAGAGCTATCATAAGCATCAGATACGCGTTGAGCAGGACCTCGATCAATCGGGAGTTCTTGATGGGGTTGCTTCGTCGTAAAAAAAGCCGCCTTGTTGCCCCGTACCTCGTGATCGATGTCGCGGAGATACACTCCGCCACACCTGTTCGTACAAGAACTTTGTGTGACCTGTTTGTCCGACCGAAACCGCGTTGATCAACAACTTGGACGCACAAGCTATCCGCTTTGTGCTTCGTATCTGGTAAAAGCGGCTACAGACGAAAGCCAAGTCGACACGGGTCTGTAAGCTTTTAGAGCATTCAGGCTAGCAACAAGGTAGTTGACGTACTATTCAACTACTCTGTGAATGTTGGGTAGCGATTCACTGTGTGGTCAAAGTGTACTCGTCGCGCGGGTTTTGTTTTGTCTCTCAAGCAGAAAGTAGCTTCACTGTTTCCCAGAGTCGTAGACGTCGTCCTCGCGGCTTCACTTGCTTGCTACCAGCTAAGTGTGCAGTGTGTGTTCTGGACCGAATACGATCATACCCTCGCCCGTCGTGTCGATTTAGCAAGTCCGAGTAGGTGTACATCGTCTGCAGCTGTCCGTGCGCAACTCTCACCAACTCACTTGGAGACGCGTTGCCATAAAGTCAAGCCGCGTGGGTGTTAATGCGTGCGATGCAAGTGCGATAGCTAAAGGCAACTGGATGTACACGTACGCGAACCCACTCGTAAGTCAAGCAAGTCCCACCCACCGCATATAGTCGAGATTTCTCTGGCACGTATAAAGCAGATGAGCTATCGCATCGTAAGACCAGGCAACACGTTCTTCTCGGGCGACCAATGATCAAGATCGGACTGCGGGCAGTTGGTCTGTTGACAAATCTTTCGGACATCACCCCAAGTGGCTTCGCAGTAGGTAGCAGTCGTGGCACATCCAGACGCGCTTCTTCCGTTTTGTTGACGGTCTGCGTGGGTAGAAACAGTCGAGTGTCTGAGACGTTGACGCACGCCATCGTGGTGCGTGATGGCCAAGACTGTGACAGTGCGTCTCTTTTCCCGCGCCGCGGATTCATCTCAGCACCAGCTCTCGAAGATGAGGAACGAGCGTTGACTCCCGCCAGCGTTGTGGCAGCGGCAGTGCATCAGGACCGTAATAGTTGATGGCAGTTGAGACACGCTGGCCCTTGTTATGTTTGCATGCGTGCGTAAGGTCCAGCGGCAGGACCTGCGTAAAGCCCGTGCGGGCTGCATTGACGCGACCCCTTTGCATGTTGGCTATCAGTTGACCCTCTCTGAGCCCGAGTCGTTAAATAATTCCACAGGTCAACGGCGCGACGGGGTCGTAGTGCCGGTACCAGACGCAGCCTCACTGCCCCGGCACTCGAGACGGTCCGATTGCAGCAGGCAAGCCGCCCGGGGTGCGTTTCAGCTACTGTACTTTGTTTAGTCGCCAGCTCACTTTGCCACTGCAGTCCCAATGGAGCGATTACTAGCACTGTGCATCTCGGATCAAACCAACTCATTTGTTCCCAGCCGTCCAAAAAGCTCCACAGCATTCGATCACTTCCATCAGTTCTCGCTTGATGTAGACATTCTGCATCAAGATCGGCGTTGCTCATGTTTGACGTTCTTGCTGCAACAGTCAACGGCTGCTACTGCATAGGACACCGCCGTTGCTGCGTGTAGACTGACAGCATCGACTATTTTGCAAGCTGAGAGCGACGACGTAGAAACAAAGTGACGCCAACATTCTTGATCAAGTGCAAACTTCACAAATGCTGACGCGTTTTGCATCGACCGAAAGTTCAGGCGTCTGCGTCGACGTCACCTTCGAACGGAGGTGTCGTGACCAGATCGAGTAGAAGCTACGTATCCATTGTCTGCAATGCAGCGCTGCATAGTTGTGTCCATGAACGAGCTTATGACGGCCACGCCCACAACTTCCGCAATGGTGAGTCAGTCTACTACTGCTAAATGCTGCACCACGCTGGACGATATCACAAAGAACTAGTGACGGAAGCATCCAGCACTGTCCACGATCGTCGTTCGCCAGCATTCCACAAGTAGGCTACAAGACCTTTTGCAGTTACTATCACTTGAGCATCAGTCTTCTGACGCGGCCACGAGACAGCAGTCGCGTACTTCCCGAACACTCCCAGCGGTATCACGAAAAAGACTCTATTCAAAGCTGGTTTGGGCAATAAGACGTCCAGCAGTGTAGGTGGCACAACGCACCCGTCAAAACCCACTCCGTCTACTCAGCAGCTCCGTTATGTGTGTTGTGCGCATAAAAGTCTTTTGCAAACGTCTCGGCGACAATGAGTGGAAACACCAACGTCGCGTCAGCATAGAGCTTCACGGGCGTTGCATCTACACGCAGCTTTCCCCACGAAATGGCTTCATCCGGACGTGCCCCTGCATCGCTGCCATCAAATTCCTGGCCCGTGTTGACAAACACGCCAAAGTCCGCGCCATTGCGCATGAGGTTTGCGTTCAAGATATGGTGCTTGACCATCCCTCCACCCAGAATGATCACGCCCGTCTTGCCTGGTGCACGCATCGCGCGGTCATTCATGCGACGAATGTCGCTCACGATGTCAACCACAAGCCCTTCGTTACGGTACGAGTGAAAGTACATCATGTCGCCGATTGATCCATCCGTGAGGGACGGGCAAAAGACGGGAATGTCGTTCTTGTACGCCCAGTAGTAGATCGAGTCTTCATTGTCAATCTCTTTGCCCAGGCGGCGGATCACTGTGGATGGAGACCACACGGTGCCCCATGTCATTTGTTCCTCCAGCATAGCGTCCAGAATCGGCGTCAGCCAGTCTTCAAACTTGCAGTAATTGTCATTCGGGACTAGCAAATTCCCAATGCGATTGAGCCCTCGAGAGCGCAAATTCGTGCCCGACAAGGCAAAGTCCCCAATGTACGTGGGCGCGAGGCACTTGATCAGGTCTTCTTCAATGCCTCCAGCAGACGAGACCAGGACGTCGACCATCTTGTGTTGCACCAAGAACCGCAGGGTCTCACGCAAGCCACTCGACACGAGATTCGACGTGTAGCCCAGAAAAATGGTCGTTTTCACCGCGGCGCGAGGGACCGAAGCGTCGTCTGGTTCCGTCTCAGCAGGTGCACGGTCGTCCGCCTTGTCGTTGTCGTTGCGGTCGTCACTTAAGCGCCACTTCCGCATGCGCTGCACCTCCTCGATCGCTTTGCCCAAGTTCGTGCCTTGGTACCCCATGGTCTTGTACGCCTGCAGGAGCTTTGCATAGTCGACGCCCTCGTTGAAGTCGTACCCGCGCACGTGTGCGCGCTTGCCCTCGAGATCTTCGGACCGCACGAGCACTGCGTCTTGCGCCATCTGCGGGACGTTCACGTCGCTCATCGCGACAAACTGAGTGGCTGGCAGCGGTCGTGGACCGACTCGCTCGAACCGCGAAAGCCCGTGCTGGATGCGTTACTTCACGATGAACACCCCGCGCTGGGGACTGTCCAACTTGATCATCCAGTTGCTCGTAAAAGGTTGGACCCACCACAGCTTGAACCCCAACGCCATCCATTTAGCGTGCTCTATTTTCTATTTCTAAGTGTCGAGTCTCGAGCGCGCGCTATCAACGATCAATCCATCCCCCGGACGTCATGGCGTCGGCCACGAGCGCCACGCGGTTGTTCGACATCCAGCGCATCGTGGGCGTCCCCGCTACCTCTTCGTCACTGCCAGCGCTCGAGGTCTCGTCCATGGCCGTGTACACAACGGACAAGAAGCAGCTGCTCGCGCTGGCCGTGAGCGAAGAGGTCCCTCAGCCGTCTACGTCTCGAGTCAAGAGCGACGCCGCGTCTGCTGCTGCGGGCGGAGCTGCTGATGCCACGAGGAATTTCCTGTTGCTCCGGACAATTGAAGAAGACGAACGCATTCGCTTCTGGCGCTTTCCCGTGTGCTCGACCGCCAAGCAGCTGCGAGCAGGCAAAGCCGAGCGGCTCGCGGCGCTCGAGTTCAGTCCCGAAGGCGATTGGCTCGCCGCGCTCTCGCCACGGAAGAACCGCCTGCACGTGATCCCTGTGCTGAAGCTGGTTGCGAACCAGCGCCGGGCAATGCTGGCCGCGTCGTGTCCTGATCGCCATCGTCGTCGTGTCAACTCGCATTCGCACCATCCGGAGCTATTGAGTGTCTGCCAAGCAGCCATGACGACGCAAATGGCGTCGTATCTTCGAGCGACAAACGAGTTTGGAGGGCTAAACGGCGCGCGGTACCACTCTCAAGTTGCTGGCGACGACGAGCAGATGAGCACATTGGAATTTGCGCCTGGCATTGGCACCATCACGTGCGTGCGATGGTGGCGAGCTCTGAACGGCAAGAACTATTGCCTTGTGGGCGGCTCAGAGAGCTTGATCTCGATTGTCAATGTGGAAGAGAACGCCGAAGAGTGTCGGTGTGAGCTCGTGCAGGCAGGGACGATCGTGAGCATCGACTTGCTGTATGAGAAATTTCGCAAAGAATGCCGAACATCAATGCTCGTCAAGACGAAAACGGACGATGAGGTGAACGACGAAGAGAGAGATGCGGGAGGAAGCGGTGTACGCTACTATCGCGTCGTACTGGAGAAAAAGTGCCAAGTGAGAGCAAACGTGGCATCGACCAAAGAAAAATACACGAGGCAAGACGAGGGATTGACACAAGCAACGTCAACGCTCAAGATAGTGACGACGAGTGGCGGATCGTCATCTTCCAGTGAGTCAACGTTTACCACGACGAATGATGTTGGATTGTCAAGCCCGTTCGGTTCTGCCAAAACGCCAAAGTATGTTGTCAAGACATTCCCACAACACTTTCTTGAAGACCTCGATTTTCGACCGCAGCGCATCAAAAAGAACTCACCGCAGGTCTGTTTGTATCCTATCAACGACACACTGAGCTCAGAATCGTCACTGGCGATGTATGATTGCAAGAAGGGAAGAGCCAATGTGTACTCCAATTTTCATTGGAGACCAAAGGGTGAGTATGAGATGCCAAGCCTTCTGCCTTCATCTTGCGATGGCACTGACAAGCGCGGTGAGGCTAAAAGCAGCAACAGCAATGGTGTACAGGAAGAAGAGGCACAAGACCTGGAGAGTAGCAGCGAGAACGATGAAGTCGTGGACGTGGACTTGACTTACTGCTCAACGGATATAATGCTACTCCAAGGTCGCACGTCCAAGTCTAACAAGACAGTTGCAACGTGGGTTTCCCTCCCGTCTCATCAGGCAGCTGACGAAGGTATCGTCAAAGCACACATCGTACATTATCTCTCGCTGCATGGAAACGAAAAGATTGAGCGTGTAGTGCAGAGCACTGTTCGGAGTCGTGGACGCTTGCAACGTGGTGGTGCTAGCGTCGGTGGTAGCCAACCAGGTGAGGCAGAGGTCATTTATGTGCTGCAGACGAAGCACCACGTGTACGAGTGCAGACCACAATGGTCACGTTTAGCGCTCTTCAAGGCACTGTGTGCGCAATCCATTGCGCTCCGGGATGCCTTGTCGATCGGTTACGCGCTTGGTATTGATATGGCGTCACTCTGCCAGGTTGTGGCAAACACCCTATACACCAGTGTCATTGACGGTAGTGTAAACGCGGACGCACAGCTTATACAATGGGTGCGCGACCTTTTCGAGGAATCACGGATCGTACCATCTGGTGCGATTGAACAGCTCACTGCAATGGGTGGTGTGCAGAGCGCCATTGACTACGCTCGGCATGTACTTGCCAAACCTGTGCGCGAGTCATCATACGACGAATCGGAAAGGAGACGTATCGCTTACTTGTTGGTGGAGCTGGTGCTTCGGCAGCAACTTCAGAAACATAAGTCGTTTGACACAGGAGCAGGGCACGTACTGTCAGGACAAGATAAGCAAGACGAGGCAAGAACGACGTGGCTCGTGGAGTTTCTCGAGACCAATCTCGATTACGTGACTTCCGATGTTGTGGACCTCTGCTTATCTCAGAGCGACGTGGAAAAGGCCATTCTCGTTGCGACTCGACGCAACGAAGTGCCACAAGCTCTTGAGAAGATCGTTCAGGAGGGATTGGCAGCTTGTGTATCCGAGCAAATGTTGCGCTATTTGCTCCGAACGGGCCACGCCGCTACGCTGACATGTCCACAGAGTCGCTTGATTCTGCGGTCATTCCCGATTGAGATCCAGGCAGAGGTGTTGCTGGCGCACCCGCCATCTATTCTACAACACCGAGGCTGGCTTGAGCGGAACGCGCCATCGATTTCTCGAACGCTTTGCCGCGAACTCACTGCTAAGATTGACCCCACGCAACCGGAAAGCAGTGGGTATATTCCTTTCGCAACAATGGAAAAACGTTCGTCGACTGGACCGTATTCTGATGTCTCCACGTCGGAGTACATTCGTACGTCTCCAGAAGAGCACGTGGAGCTGTATCTGACGTTGCTGCTTCGATTGAGTTGCAACAGTGATCGCTCAGGAGAGCAATCGATGGACGATGACACCGAAAATGATGGTGCATGTTCACAAGCCAAGCTCGAGATGCTCCTGAAGGATTTGGCCACGCAATATCGTCCGCCCATTATGGTGGCTCGATGTGTGGACTATGAGAATTGGACTGCCGCTGCCTGTATATATGAAGCACACGGAGAGTTGGTGGAAGCGTTGGAGTGTCGGTTGCAGTCGCACAACACACACAATGCGAAGCTGCTGCGCTCAAGATCCGTCGAAGGGACAGCATTGTCGACGAATGCGATAACTTGTCACGCTCTAGCCTCGGAAGACTCGATCGGTACTTCCGTGCCGGATGTGGAATTCCACGAGCAGATGCGCGAGGAACTCTTTGGATTGTTGAGGTCGCTGGTCGTCCGGAGCCATAGCTCGGAAGCTATATCCGACCAGGTTCGTGCCGCGATCCTTGCACGTATTTTGGTCAAATGGTTCGACTACGGGCTCCAGAGCGCCGAGCTGGAGACCTTTCTTGTCGATGCGGACGTGTTCCCGCACGTGTCGTCGTTATTGGCCCAGATCTTTTTCTTCGAGGTCGTACGCTCCATTCCACGGCCCGAGTCGGTCGGCCTGGCGGTCTCGACATCGAGTGAAGGTTATGGAGACAGTTTTGACGATCGGGACAAGGAGTGGGTGCTACAGTGTCAGCATCTCTCGTTCTCAGGACAGTTCCTCTTTCGCGTGTGCGTTTCGTTCTTGGAGAAGGACCAAGTGAGTCAGGCATTGTCAGGCCCCAGTCCGCTGTCCCCGATGATCCAATTGAAGCTGGTGAAGACCAACGTGGTGAAGAACGATCTGTCTCACACATTTGTTCACATTGCTCCTCACTCGGCGCAAGCACTTGGAAAGACCGACCCACTGGAGACGCACATGAAGGTGTTTACGTGTGGCCACCTCTTTCCGAAGCGCGTGTTTGAGGAAGAGGTGGTGCCGGAATTTGACAAGCGCATGAGTGTGTTACCGATACCTTTGTCTGCAACGAAAGAAGCCTTCGTGCGCGAGTTCAAGCGTGGTGCCAGCGAGACGCCGTGTCCAGTGTGCAGTTTCAACAAGATCAGTGAGCTCGTGTTCCAACAGTACAACACGAGGCAAGCTCTGCAGCACAAGGAGCGTTTGGATGGACAGACAGGGTCGGTTGCCACGAGTGACTCGCCGCGGCAAATCCGAAGTGCTCGTCCGCATACGCAGAAACCCGACATGCCTTACTACTTTCTGCATCGGAAAGCCAGCGAACGTCTTGGATACTCGACGGTCGGTGGAAGCTCAACGCATGAGGCATGGGAATGGAGTGAGCAGCGTCTTCCGTGAACGAAGCAGCAGTGATGACAACAAGTCGTAAACGCGTTCATGATACACAGGATGTTTATTACAACGTCGATCGATAACTTATGAGCGCATGGGCGCGCAAGGAAAAAGACACGGCGAGCTGCCCCGCACGCTTATCTTTTCCGCTTCTTGCCACGCTTCGCACGAATGTCCGCGTTCCGCTTGTCGCTCTTCATACGTGGATCCACGAGCTTCACTTTGCCTTTGCCGGCCTTCTTGCCGCCAGCAGTCTTGGTCCCGCCGCGGGTCGACACGACGTACACCTTGCTCTCTTTTTTGACGTGCGTGCCCTTCATGGCACGATCGATCGCCTTCAGCTTCTCGCGTGTCGACATGTCGGGCAAGTTGGCAATGTCCGTCGCCTTCTTCTTCGCCGCTTTGAGCTTCTTCATTTGCAGCCGCTGCTTACGACCGCGGGCCTCGGCCACTTTCTTCACCGGCTTGGTCGCCATCTCCATGAACCGCTCCTTCATCTGCGCCAAGACGTTCTTCGGGATCGGCAGCTGCGGACGGTAGTGCTTCTCTTCGTCATCGACAAACCAGTCGGGCATTGCTTCCGAGTCGTTCCACGTGTAGCGGTTGTAGCTCGCATCAATCAGGTCTTTCGCCTTCGACTTCCGGACCATCATGCTCGCCAGGGCGAGGGTCTTCGCACGGTCCTCGGCGTCATACTCCTCGTGGTCCGAGTCGTACTTGCGATCGTCCATGGCAGGCAACGTGTCTTCGCCCGGTTCATCAACAGCAGCTACAATCTCAAACTTGTCCGCCGAACTAGGATTGTTTTCCAGTGCAGCGCCCATTCCAGATCGGATCAGCGCCCGCTTCTCCACCGCACCTGCACTGTCGTTCCTTCCTTCGTCGGCTTCAGCAGCCATAGCCGCTTCGTCTTCCGAGTTGCCAGCGGCGACCTCAAACTCGGTGCCGAACTCCAGTTCGTACTCCTTCTGCTCCTTCTTCAGCTTTTTCGCTGCCCGGCGTTCCTTGCGATCCGTTGCGGCCTTGCGCTTGGCATGGCGAATCTCCTTGTCCGTCTTGGGCATGTCGGGCAGGGACAGTTCCTCCTTCTCGCCAATGCCGTCGAACAGCTTGTTGTCGCTGAACCAGCGAGATACGGCAGCACTCGACTTCTCAGGCACCTCGAGCGATACGTTCAGCTCATCCACCTCGTCCTCCGAATCGTCCGAGCTCTGCATCCAACCACAAGACATAATGTTAGCTCCATGACATCGACTACTCACGACAGATACACACGCAGTGCGGACTGTCGAATGCTCAAAGGACTGCGCCACCGAAGAGCCACAAGGCTTAAGCAGCGCAGTCAGACATGAGCATTCATGATGCTCTTCCCCATGTTTGACAACTGAGCGAAGGTACTGATCGACCCGGAACAGATAACACGGATGGGGGACTGGACCCACGCACACATCACATGCAACGGCACATACCTCGTCCGGATTGATCATCTTCTGGTACTGTTTCATGTCGCCATCGAACATCTCGCTGTCCTGCACGAGGGCCTCGCCAGCCAGAGCCCGCTTCGCGACCTTTGTGCGCTTCACGGCCTTGCGCGTCTTGACGTCGTCGCCTCGACGGGCCAGGAACTGCTCGTATGCCGTCTCCATCGAGGCTTCCAACAACTCGTCGTACTCGGCATCGCTGTCTTCGTGACTGTTACCGTCTTCGTCGTCCGTCTCAAACTGAAGCTCTTCGTCCGACGTCAGATCGGCACCAGCATTTTCCAGCTCGTCCACCTTTTCCTTCGACAGCTTCAATTCCTTCAAGCTGAAAGCAGCACCGGCTTCGGATATGTCGATGCCTTTGGCGTTCATGCCCATTGCCGCGCGAAGACGAAGCTTCTGCTTCTGTTCTCGTTCCTGCAAACAGACGGGACACAGCAATCAGTTGACTGCCCAGCGGTGGTATGAACCACTACATACACACGCATCGACTACTCATGCATGTCTGAGCACAAGAACGGTTAGAAGTTTCATGGTACGGTGAACCCCAACAGCTGAAGGCTGCATGTCGCTCTTGGCGGCTTCAATAGCCGGTCTGTTCAAGGACCAATCCGACCGAATGGAATCGGAAGGGGCTTTGGATTGCCGCCAAACACACAAGTACATCATACATGCCGAACCACGAATGTCCAGCCCAAATCGACTGCCGCTCGCACGAGTCAGCGAGGACAGGATTAGGAGCCGTTTTCGTATGAGCGCGTAACGGGAGTCGGGAGGGTTAGTTCCGCAACATGTCAATCGAGTGTCGTGACAAAGACTACTGGGATGCGCTCACATGCAATACGCAACATACTACATACACATCTGCAGCAGCGCATGACATCATCGCGTACCTTTTTCTTTTCACGCTTCTTCTTCGCTTGCACGTTCGCACGCAGCTGAGACAGCTCTTCACGAACAAGTGCATCCTTCTCAGTCTCCGTTAGGACACATTGAGGCTCTTTGGGATTCACAGGCTTGTCTTCCGCGTCTACTTCTTCGGGCCTTTCGGCCTTCAGTAGCTCCTCTTTGTACTTGAGCATACGCGTTCGCCACTTCAGCAAACTCTTGAAGTCAGACTTGCCAAGCACCTGAACATATCAACAAACGCATCAAACAGTCAGACACACATGACAATCACAAACACGACACTATCCTTGGCGTGAAGAGAAGGATCAGACTGCTCAAGGGCACTTGACAGCAACACCACGCTCTGGCTTCCGGTGGGTTTTCCCGAACTTAATCGGGCGCCGGAACAACAGAGGGGCTCAGACATTAATCAGCTTTGAATCTTCACTTCCTTCTCTTCGACCACGATCACGTCTGCAATTGCAGACACGTTCGACGTTACCGTCGCTTTCACACACCTTCAGATCGCTCAAACAAGTCACAATCTCGTTCGACGTGTCCTTGTGTTCGCGATACACGTCGTCTTCGGGTAAGAACTTGATACTGGTAGTGTCGGTCAAGAGTCGAATCGGGTCGTGGTCGTCAATGAATTGCGACACGCTGCACTCGTTCGTCAACGTCACGCCCAATGTCTCGTCGTAACCTGAGACACAACCGCATTGACATCGTCAGCACCGCCGTTGCGTCTTCGTGTTCCACTTGTGTGTACACAGTCACGAGAAGACATGTCATAGATCATCGCCCCAAACCGCAAGCAACGTCCACCTCCTGCTTCGGAAGAAGCAGGTGATAGCATATACAGACGCTGGAACGACTTGATGTTGCTCTAGGCTACAAGTAGCGCTACCGGCCAATGGGGACAGACCGCTAGTGACTCTAAGGATGCAGCCAACACCTACAGCTCACACACATGTGCATGCACATGAACACAGTGTGGGTACATACCTTGACGATGCCGTTTGCGATCGCCAAACTTGGGATGAAAGATCGTGATGGTCTGCTCTTGACTATCCACTTGGTCAAACACGTGCTTCGGGTCGAACAGTTTGGGGTCGATCGAGTGCGGCGCCAAGTACTGCTCGCACACGACAAAGATCTCGGCCGACTCGTTCCGCGACGACAGCGGCTTCGTTGCACTCACTTTCTTAAACAGCTGCTTGAACACCCACAGCAGCGCGTTGTAGTCCTGCGAGCGAAAGACCTTGGACACGAACGTGCCGCCCCGTCCCATCACGTCGACCGCCAGCTTCAGGGCGACAAGAGCCAGCTCGTTCTGCACGTAGGCATCTTTCGAGTACTCGGCGCCGACGTTCGGAGCGCCGTCACAGAGCACCACGTCAGCCTGCCAGCTCTGCATCTCCTGCTTGATGATCTGCCGACAGCGCGCCGTGGTAATGTCGCACTGAAACGTCTTGACGCCTCGAATCGGACGAATGGGCAGCAAGTCAATGCCCACAATGATACTGGACGCCGGCATGTACTTGGCCGCGACTTGGCACCATCCACCCGGAGCTGCACAGAGATCAATGCACACTTTGGCCGTGGACAGAAAGTCGTACTTCTTGTTCAGCTGGATGAGCTTGAAGGCCGACCGCGCGCGGTAGCCCTGTTGCCGGGCCAGGTTGTAGTACTTGTCCTTGTCATGCTTCTTGCGCTTCACCATGTCCCACGACGCGACAAGTTCACGAATGACACGTTCGAACTACTCGCAGCGGTCAGGAGCTCTTCGAGCGATCGCCACCAACCAACGAGTATACATACGGACGCCAAGTCACCCGCCGGTCCCGTGGGGTTTTACCGCGAAAAACCCTGTGCCGAGGCACGAAAAACACCTCGTGCTGTTTGTATTGTGCAAAACGAGCGAGTGAGGTTTATCCGTCGAGACCTCTTATTTACGAACTGCGGAGGACGGACGAGGAAAGGGGTGGACACCCCCACACACAAAAAAGAGGGACGAAAAAGGGCACATGTTGAAGTGACGTGGTACAACACACTAGTGGCCGCCTGACGTGGGTCGCTTGTGGATCACAACGCGGTCGATCAGGCGCACGTTCGAGCGGTCCAGCGCATTGAAGCGTCCAGCGAGAGACGGGTTCTCAAAATCCATGCGCAGCATATTGTCCACCTTGGTCACCAATGGCTTCCAGTAGCTTGGACGGGTCCACTTGAACGACGGCAAGTTCCGCTCGAGCGAAGCGCGTGGCCCCGTCCCGCCGCTCCACTTTGGGTCTCTGCACACAGCAGACACAGCAGCCACGTCAATGACAGCAGCCCATGCGTTCACGTTCACTGGTCATGCAATGTGTTCCGTACCTGCACCAGCGGTGTGGCATCTTGTCCACGCCAAACGCAAACACCTCAAGTCGACCTTCCTTGTCAAAGTGCAGTCGCAGAAAGTTCTTGTAGCTGGCAATGCGCAGCGACGAAAACGCCTCGTTGTAGTGGCAGCCGAATATGTTGAGCGACAGGTACAGGTACGTGCCAAAGACAAAGCTCACCACTGGAGTGGCGAGCACCCAAAAGTACGGGAACACACTGGCGTAGTACGTCCACAACTCCATGCGCCCGAGGCTATCGAACCCCGACCCGCAAATCTTGATGCGCTTCAATGCGACCACCTCCGGTACTGCGGGAAGTTACGTGCAAGTGTCAGTGGCCTCATGGATATAGATCAAGCTGCAATGTGCACACCTTACCGTCGAAGATAGTCATGCAGAGCCGCATGAACTCTCCGTACATTGAAGCCAGTCCAAAGACATCGTACTTGCGAATAGCAGAGAAATCGGGAAGTGTGCTACTGAAGTAGAGGTAGAGCGTGTGCTCGCCCTCGCGTCCGAGTGCACCACGGGCTGATGCTACTTCGAGAAGGAGCTCGTACGCGAGTAACACGGTGAAGGCCGCCAGGAAGTGGAAGCATGACACGGTCAGGCCCATTGCACACCTCTTTGGCAAAGTGGTGCAATCTGCAAATCCGATAGTTGCCAAGAGCATGCCGATGCAGCACAGCAGCGACACATGGGATGTCATCACCATGTCAACGAGCAAAGAAACGAGCTCTTGGTAGAACTGGATCACCGCCTCCCAGCGTGTCGGAGCTGCGTAGATGGAGCTAACTGAGCAGCGTGGAAACATGGAGAACACGAGCGCGAAATACTGCAACCATCACAGCACGGAACAAGAGCAACACGATGCGATTAGAAAACGAGAGCGCACGGGTCTTCCAAAGCATCGAGCTCGGAAAGCACGCTCGTCCAGCTTACCCCGACACCACCAATTGCATCGAAACGCCAGTTGAGCCGACGGAAGCCAAAAACGTTGAGCACGGCGTAGCGTCTAGAGCAGCAATGGATGCAAGTAAACGAGTCATGATTCCGCACCAGCATCGCCATACAAGCAGGACCGCTTTCGGACCAAGTAAATATCATGCAGCAACGTACCTTGAAACGTCTGCCGGTGGGTAGCACGTCTTGTGCTCGTACGTGCCACCATTCGACACCAGACTCGGACTAGGTACATGTGTCGGATGCAAAAAGGCACCCCCACCACCAGCGATAATCAAATGCTCCGCAGAGAGTTCATGCTCAGCAGGAATTTCCGACCGGGGCGTGGCATCTCTGGCAGTTCCCTGCTCGTCAGTCTCCCCGTTGTGCTTCATGTGTGGAAAGTGCTTGTGGACCGCAGTCGAAAACGAGCGGCTGCGAGGAATACTCGCCTTTGTGACTTTTGCCTGCAATGCATCAAAGTGCATGGAGACGGGACGCTTGAGGACGTGCTTCTCCTCCACCAACGAGTGACGCATGTAGTTGTGAATGTCCCCAGCAAGTCGCAGGGCAACTCGACCTTTTAGTACGTGCTCGATCAGGTAGGACAGTTTGACGTCCACATTGGATCTGTTCTCGTAGACATTCAGTAGCCAACGCGGTTCATGGGTGACTACAATCACCGCGTCATTTGGACCCATTTGCGACTGGACCACCCGCTCGAAAAAGCCAAACTGCTCGGTGTCGACGTCATTTTCCAGAGCCAAGTCCACGCCAAACAGCCACCAGCCATGAGGAAGCTTGATGCTGAAGTAGCTTGTCTTTTGCGGGAGCAACCAACCTCCCAGCCAGTCACGCTGGCAAATGTATCGCATGAACGTGTTGAGCCCATCAAACCAGTCGTGGTTCCCGGGAATCGCAAACGCACTAGGGCCTTTGTATTCGCGCAACGATGAGCACCCGTCAGGAGCTTTCTTCCGTGTGGAGATAGATGATGGGTGATAGCAAGCTGGCGGCTTCATGGCGTACTCGAAACATCGAAATAGGCGTGTTTCGTACGATTGACTATCTGGATGCGGGTAGGCGAGATCTCCACCGAGTATGAGAGCGTCACCGCGCGGAAATACTCGCTTGACTGGTTTATTCGTGGCCGCCTTCACGTTGGCTCGGCTAGATACAGCTTTGCCGCTAGCTTTCGCGTCGGGTACCTCACAGTCGACTTCAAGCTGCGGCTGAGCAAGCAAACGCGCGATTTGGTAACTGCTGTTAAAGCCGTCGCCACAGTCAGCCATAAAGTCAAGCCACACTTCGTCCTTTTTCGCGAGGTGGTCAAAACAGTAATCTTCATCGTTGGGATACATCGCTCGCTGCATCGTACGCATGTCGAACCGGCCAAGGAAAATTTTGAGCGAGATGAGGAGATCGAAGACTGTGTCAATCAAGAGCATGGAATACCACGGCACCATCGGCAAGTTTTGATCGGGCGGTAAACGCTCGTTGCCGTTCTCGTCTTCAGCCATCTCGTCATTGTCTTCTGCACCTCGGTTGGAGAACCATCCAAAGGACGCGATCATGCGGACTCCGCTTACACGTTCGAGAAAGAAGTTGGTAGTAGCTAGGAGCATCCCCATGCACCAGATTACAATGGCACCACCATAGCTGCAAAAAGCATACAAGCATGCGATGAGTACAACATGACAAAAGAAGATAGTCAAGAAGCATGACTGCATCCCTACCTTCCCGGCACAAGCGTCTCCACATCGTCAGACTGAATGAACGAAAAAAGCTGGGCACATGCATGGCTATTGTACGTCCTCGGTTCATCCGGCGACGCGGCACAGTCGCATGTCGCATCGCAGTGCACAATCAGTGCCACACAGGCCACACTGACTGCAGCGCTGTTGCCAAGCACATTCATGAACGATCTTCCCATCCTTACAAACATGAAAAGCAACACCATTACTTCCACTATTTCCCAGCATGAGTGAAGTCAACAGTTCGAGAAAGTATCACGTACGAGACGGGCGCCACAGTCCATGCCAAGCCTCGTTTTGAGATCTTTCGCGAAAGCACGAGCACCATGAAAGCCTCGAGCATGACCAGAAAGACAAAACTGGCCGAGAAAAAGGGAAACAGCAGCGAGATCTGAGCCCAGCAAGAGTGTCAGTACAAGCAACAGAAATAGACGACGACAAAGACGAACGAGAGCTGGTACGCAAGCAAGTGTAGACGAACCGGTTGTTTGATGGTCGAGTCCAGTAGCCCCAACGCATGCACTGGTGTGTGCAAGGCCGCAGCCGAGAGCAGCCACGCGTAGAGTATCATGGAAAAGTAGACGTACGGCGTCCATGAATTCAGAAGCTCTCGATTGCCCACAAAAGGGCTCGTGAAGAAGTAAAAGGCGAGATAGAGCGCGAGGTAGAGCAGGAACCAGACCTAGAGGCAGACCCAGAGGCAGACCCAGAGACAGGTACAGATGGGTACATTCGTATACAGTGACACATACACACATTGATCAGCACACGCACGAAGCACAATGACACACGAGACAAGCAAACGATAATAAAGAAGCAACAGCAGTGTACACGTAGCACGTCGATCGAGAGCACGCACCAGTTGATCCTCAGCTTTCGTTGGCTCGGCCTCGAAGAGCCACGCCATGTTTGCGAAAGTATCTTTGACTTGACGGATGGAATTGGGAAGGACCTGTCGAGTAGCATACCGTAGCGGGTGTACCGCTACGGGTATCAGCGGTATGTGTACCGCTTGGCCGGAGGGGGTACCCTGCGGGCAAACGCGTATCCGGATACGAATGTCTCATGCATAACGCCCACCCACACGTCCAGTGCGACAGAAAAAAGTGCTTTCGCCCGCCCCAAACGCAAAGAAAATGACAGCGACGGCCGACTTCCCGGCCGAGTTCTTGTCGCTCGGAGCGGACTTTGTTGACAGTAAAATGGCCATCAACAACAGCATCAGTGACATGCTACGTAGCCGACGTACGCACTTGCTCTCGACCTCGTGGCTCGCGCTTCTCCAGTGTCGAAAACATCAATACTGACGCGGTGGTGTGGGGTTTTCGATGGGTCTTTTTGTCGCGATGATGTGGGTTTTATGTGTGTGGTTTGGGTGTTATCGGTCGGCGACATGCAGCCAGTGCAGGCAGTACCGCTTCGCAGATCGCCCAAGCGCGAGTGGCCGAAGCTCAGCGCTATGTAAGTGGCTGAGACGGTGTTCCGGTTTTCGGCCATATGTGGCTGAGCGGGGACACACGTTACAAGACCTGATGTACCCGTGTGGGCTCTGACCTGGTGCCAGATCAAACTCATGACTGTCGAAGTGCGAGGCCGACCGCTGCAATTGAAGAAAGCCATGCAAACAAAGGTGCGGCCGACGTCTGTGGCTTGGTTTTGCAACGGATAGAAAACAGAGCCAGTAGCTACAATGTCGATGTTGATGTTGCAACAGATAAACTTGTATCGCGAGGAACTGCAGGGACTGAAGCGGGACGTGGAGCGCGCGCAGCTAATGGCTCAAAAAGACAAAGCCGTTACAAATAGCACAGGAAATCACGTGAGGGGGCGTTGGTGAAGCTGTATGCAGCAAGTGGGTACCTGACGTGCTGTCGTGTTGCTCAGACGTCGCAGTACGAACGCCTGATCAAGAACAACGATCGACTTGCCCAGTGAGCAACTCGCTGTCTACTTTGCGCACGAGTGAGTTGATGTGGCATGACGAGCTGAGCAAACGGTGGCGCTTGCTGTTGCTGCCCAGGTCTTCCAAGAAACTAGAAGAGACGCATCGGATCGTTGCTGAGACGGAAGAGGTTGGGATCAGCGTACTGGACACAATGGCACAGCAGCGCGAGAGCCTTCTTGGAGCTCACGAAAACGTAAACCTGCGTCGACTTTCGTTCGGACTGTATAGCACTGAATGCGATCGACAGCCTGTACTGTGTAGCTGACGTATGTTTTGCTCTGCTCAGGTCCGCGAGACAGGGGCAATGACAACCGAAGCACGGCGGATTCTGCAACGCATGACGCGCCGGATCATCGCCAACACTATCGTGCTGTACACAACCATCTTCGTGCTCATCGCTGCTATTTGCTACGTGCTGTACGCCGACTTTATCCGTGCCGCCCGCTTGTTCTAAGCTCATTATCGTCACGCAACAGCGACAAAAACTGCGTAAGTTTGTAACATTTTGAGTTTCATACACCGACCGACTTTTTTACCCCTGTATATGAAGTGCTTGATCTCTCTTGAAAAGGTCGACGTGCGCTTTTGCCCTGAACGATCAATTCGTCCACGATGGCAAGCAGGTTCTATGAACCAGAAAAGGGTTGTGTCACCCCCAAAAGTGTCGGCTTTCCCTGATCGTTCCTCTACCAGTGCCAATGTCGGCATCGGCAGTCCAGCGGCCAAGAATAAGGCTCAGAGTGGACATCTCGTTCCAAGCGACCGTCATATTCGGTCTTTGACTCAATTCGACGCTCCAAGCACCAGATCACTATGCAATAGAAAGCTCAGTCCGTGCGCTACCTCACACACTGCAGTCTTGCCAGAAACAAGTATTTGCTCAACGTTGTACATACATCGGCGCTCTTGAGGGCGTTCGATTGTGCATTCGTCGACGATTGAAATGGAGCATCTGACGCTTATACTGGAGACAGCAGAAAATATGTTCACGCTGATGATAGCGAAATCGGGTGTTCCGAAATGTCACATGCACGAAAACGTGCAGAAAGAGTGCAGTCACGTGAAGTAGATAAGCCAGATACGTGGAAGATAAAAATTGCATTGAACACAATGCAGCCATGACACGATCATTTCGAAACCTTACTTGGACTCTCTGAAACAACAAATTTGTACGGTAAACATGTGAACTTTCTGTTAACGACTCATGCAATGCGCAAGTCTAGCATCAACCTGTGCTTTTGTTGGCAATTATAGTAAAGTCTCCGTAATTAAATATTCTCCGACTTCAATAAACCCCTTACTTAATAAAAATATCGAGTCCCGTATTGGGCACAGGCCGCATATAAAAAACCCACTTAACTTTTATTATGAAAGTCAGACCAAATTTCCGCCATAAGAACGTTAATCTACCGCCAGAGGACTAGTACAAAAAATTTGAGAGCTAGTTGCTCTAGGAATTTTGCTGAAGATTTCCCACCTGATCCTGCATCTTCTGAATCATCCCTGGAAACTCCTCTCCAGTCTCCTGCTGCAACCAGAAAGTTCTTGAGCTCTGCAAGCATCGATGCAGCATTCCAAAGAGGGACGGGCGGTGCGCCACGCTATCGTCCTCCTTGCTGTAGCTGCCACGTTCTGACTCCATCAATTGAACGCTCTCGAGAATCTCTGCCTCTGTCGGAGTGTAGCTCACCTGCTCTATGTCGGGATTGTGGAGCAGGAAGTCGATGGACATCGCGTTGCGATAAAGTTGTTGAACTAGTCCCTGGAAGTCCGCAACGACTGCCTGCGGGACGTACAAGTTGGCGTTCGCAGCGTTGTCCATGTCGGAGGTGCGGAGTTTGCAGTGCGTAAAGCAGTTGCGGATGCACTCAGGCTGCACATCCAGAGCTCATGCTGCATGCGCCACTGAATCGCCTCTAAGACGTTGATCTTTGCTGCTTCCGGCTAATGTTCTCAAGGCGATCTAGGAGCTGGCGATTGAAGCGCCCGTGGTAATACAAATTAAAGTTGCGTTGCAGGGCTGAATCTTGCTGGTAGCCTTAAGCGGTAAATACAACTGCGTTGTATTCTGCAGTGATTCCGGCATCTTCCAGATCCTCTTCCTTGATGTGCGCGGAGCAGTCGTCGATAATAAGGTTACCTTACGACCGGCAACGTGTTTGGAGGAGGCTTCCAGCCATAGTTTGAACACGTTGCGAGTCATTCACGCGCTCTTGTTGACGTGATAGTCAACGCTTAGTCTTCTTCGGTCTACGTTTTTGAAACAGCGCGGGTTTCAGAACTTTCGAATACCCACAGCGGTTTATTGCCTGATCCTTCTACGTTGCTGCAGAATGTCATCGTCATCCTCTCTTTGCTCTGATTCTTATCCTCAAGCTGGTGAGTCGACTGCGATGAATCGGCCTGCAGTCGAAAGAATAGGCCGGTCTCATCCATGTTTAAGATATCAGCGGCGTTGTACTAGTCCAATTGGGCGATGATTTCCGGCATGCGCTCCTTTCGTGCTTCGACGTCGACAATACCGCTTTCGCCAAAGCGACGGTGCATGCGGATACCGTGTCGATTTGTAAATTTATGCAACCAACCAATTGATAATGCGGGTGCATCCTCATCTTTGACGGGTGGATACAGAGTCTGCATAAATCGATGTTGCTTTTTCCTGGATCAGGTGTCCGCTGATTTTGACGACACCCTGATACTCAATAATTCACCGAGCAAGCGCCGTCTCCACCAGCGGGTACGAAACCGCACGCTGTCGCTTATAATAAAGGGCTGCATCGCTCTTATCTGGACCTAGCAGGTCTGCAGAACGCTCAAGGACGTTGCTGGTTGTCCCTTGGGTGACCGTGACTCCAGGCTCCTCCAGTATCCACCGACATAGAGTTTCCTAAGCGAGGCTTGAACGTCTATGCTTCTGCATGCAGGTCGCCTTGCGGAAGTTGTCTGTACGGGTATAGCCATTGGCGACCATGTTGGAGGAAAACACGTGTAGCACCCTTATCTTCAACCCTATCCCCTTTAACTCTGCTATGTAATAGTTTCCTTATTCGATTTGACGGTTCCATCCATATTAAAATAGCGAGACTCTACTATCATGACAATATCTCTCTCTTGTCTGTTGAGATAACATTCACATGCATGATCCAAATTTCTGTCAATATTATGTAGCCAGGTCACCACCATACATCATCCATCTCCCTTCCCAATAGTGTCATTTTATTGACATTTGTGATTGACAAAACGTGATCATTATCAGATCACTTTACAAAGAAGCGCATTCGTTGATCAGACCCTTTCCAGCATTCTCCATCGCACCGTTGCAAACATGTCCATCCGATACGCAGCAACTGTCATACAGAGGACGTATGCACGCTAGCTTGCTGATCCTACTGAGGCGTCAACCACAGCATCTGAAGGTGATCGGGATGCCGCTGGCACGGCTCAGCGCACAGCGCTCAGCGTTTTATTGTCACGTGGTAGCCCACCACGCAATGAAGATGACTCAGAATCGGAGCTTATCTATTCTGGCGCGTATGAATGTACGTTGAACCACCCCATCGTTTCTTTGGTTTCATCGGGCGGTGGAATAGGTTGTTGAAGCTAAGGAGGTACGACGAACGGAGCTTACAACAGTGGTACAAGCTAAGACACGCGCTGTAAAGTGAAATGCGTGGAAGGTATATACCTTGAATATTAAAGTCAGGCATCAACTGGGGTCATAATGTATGATGATACCAGCAGAAGAATGATGCAGAGCAGCAATAGTCTGTAGTTTGTATTTCAGAATTAGTATTTATTAATCACTTTTTAACTCACCTTCTTCAAATGATCGTGACTGTTTTAGCCATCTTAATTATAAATATAGGTAACGATCGAGCAGGCTTGCTACGGGATCTTAGCGCAGGAAGGGTGAAGCGATATCTTTGGACAGTCTGGTATATATGAGGACATACCTACAGGATTGAGTCGTTGCGCTCGCGTGAGACGACGCTCGACGCAATGATCATGGTAACGGGGGCACTCGAGGTGATGCAAAAAGGCGCCATACCCTTAAGCATTTTTATAGAGAGAGACAGACTAGTCGTTTGATCCATTATGTAGTGCAAGATGTATGTTACATACTTAGCCTGGATAGCAACGCTTATATCTCGTTCGAGTCCGGTAATTGTACGGGACTGAGCATCTGAGTTACTGGATCGCATGATGTTCTCTCGAGCACGCTCTTGCAGGCAAGCAAGCGTGCACATCGAGTTTGCATTTCGAAGCATCGAAATTTCGCTTGGAAACAGCGCGAAATTGCCGCAGACCCATTTCCAAGAATTCTTGGACGCTACCGGCGATTGTAACGCGTTCCTGCAAGAACGTGACCCGGTTTCGTTGGGTCCATAAACAGTTAAGACAAATTATCCTTATCATACACCCCCAATCTCTTTCATACGGCGGCGTTTTTCTTCTTGTAGTCGGGATGGTCCCGGCAGAGATGTTTAATAGACACTCATAGTTCCGGCGCCCTTCGGCTGGCGCTATGCGCGAGAAAATTGCACAATTGGTGAAGATTCTACCTTTGACCGGTTCAATAGAACATGAGCTTTAGATATCAGTCTTGGGCACAGGGACAGGACAAAACGATTTGTTCTATGATTTCCTTCGCACCGTAGCAGCACTGAACTTTGCGAAACCTTAGATCGATTGCACTCCCAGTATGATAGATATTCAATTGTTTTGTCGCGACGCGATAATTGACCAAAATCTGGTAATATATGATCTCGTGGCCGTGCGCCTACCACGTAGTTGATGTCTACTATAACGCGGTGTCTTGCCAGATGCTACACAGCGCTGCAACTTGAAGCTTCGTCAACAGCGGGGTTAGCGCGCTTCCATCCTTTTTATATTGCCGGAACGGTAGCTTCTTCAATTCCAGACGATAATGTCGATTTGCAATTATGCCGGGCACTTTCCAGGACATACTGTAACGGGGCAGCCCGTTACATGGAATTGTCATTTTAAAGAAACAATGACAATAAAGAATATTAAGTTGAATATTCTTTGAACAATATCACCAAAGTGGTGATATTGAAGGGTCGACCAAAGAGTCTGTTCATTGGTTGATATCTTGGTGATATCAAACCACCAGTCGCCGCAAGACGCGCGCAATGAGTGGTGACGAGACGTCACCATACACTCAGTTATATTAACATAATTAAGTCAGGTTAAACAAAGAGACAGTAGCAAAACGACTTAATTATATTAGTACAACAGTTTTACTTTTTCCTTATTCTAAGCTTCCTCGTTTGCCTCGCGTACGTCTGTCGGGGCACCCAAAACCCTTGCGTTAAGTTCACGCAAGGGTGTGCTCCGTTACACCTGGTAGCACTTTGTAGTCCTTCCAAGGACCACAACATCCAACATGAACATGTTGGGTGACGAAGAAACCTTTCACGCCACGCGTGAAGGGTTTAACCATTTGAGTGACATCGAATGGAGTGCGGTAGAACGAATGAGTTCTACCGTAGGCGAGTTCGCCATTAGCGCCATGTTGGAGTCTCTAGACAGAGACCATCAACATGCTGCTATAGCCAAGTTCATACAAAATGAGCTTGTCGCCGAAAGGGAGAAAGTAGCCTTGCTTCACCAGCAAGGCTCTCAACAGGCCGAGCAGTTGAGAGAACTCGGTTCTCAACAGACAGAGCTCTTATGACAGCAGCAATTCCATGCTGCTGTGGGCGGGACGGCACATGCGCGTCGTCCCGAGGTCATGAAGGTTGACATCTCCAAGTACCGTGGAGTCCCGGAAGACTCCCTGTTACTATGGTTTGTCGAACTCGACAGAGCCTTAAGGGCTCGTCGCGTCGAAGATGAGCAAATGAAACTCACATTTGCTAAAACCCATTTGGCAGGGCGTGCCAAAACTTGGTCCCTGGGGCTCGAGAGTAGCGACCCAAATGTGTTTAGGTCGCTAGATGACTTAAAGTCCCGGCTCAGACAAACGTTTGAGCCGCCACGGGCTGAGTTCAGAGCTCGTTCAGAGCTCGTTCAGAGCTACTGAAACATAAGCAGAGTAAGCGTGATGTGCACGCTTACGCACAACATATACGACTCCTCGCGAGTAGTATAACTGCTAACCCAGTTTATGAACACACGTTGATTACGGTGTTCATGCAAGGGCTCGCAGAAGGGCCCGTCAGGAGCCACCTGTTCCGCCTTGAGCTGAATACGCTGGAAGATGCGATATCAGCCGCGGAACAGGAAGATTTTAGCATGAGACAGGCTCATGCTAGCTCAAACTCTTATCGTCCACCAAGACGACAAGAGATCGGAGGTCCAGAACCAATGGACCTCTGCTATGTTGAGAGCGAGAGACCCCGCTCTTCTAACGACAAGCGATTGCAGAGGTGCAATCGCTGTCAGAAGCTAGGGCACTACGCATACGAGTGTAGTGCTCCACGCCCAGTACCAAACAGTACTGAGCGTTATGGACGACCAATTGCCAGAAAGGGCAATGGGCGTGGGTCCAGCGCTGTTGCGGCTCCGCAACAGCGAGACGGACCATCAAAAAATGGTCGAGGTCAGTAGAGGTGGAGCGCTCTACTGATCCAGAAACCTCAAGAGAATTTGCAAATCTTTTGACGAAAGTTGCTCCAGATACACAATCATTGTGTGTCTCTGCACCTGGTGATGACGTTTCGCTCATCACCTTGAAGTTGGAAGCGACAAATGATTTGTCGCTTCGTGCCCTAGTATACTGTGGGGCGTCGAACAACTTTGTTCGTCGCTAGTCACTAGAGGGTCGTAGGCTCAAGTTCGTTGAGCGCGACATTCCCCTCACGAGGATGACGGTGCGCTTTGCAACAGGCGCATCGATTACCGTTGAGAAACGTGTAGTAGGAATCCACTACACGTTGGAGGGCGAACAGTACGATGATGACTTCATCGTACTGGATCTGGATGACAAACTTGATGTCATCCTGGGATTACCTTGGCTCAGAAGGTACGAGCCAAGAGTGAGCTGGAAGCATCGATCCGTAAAGATGCCTGCCACTTGTTCATCAAATGGCCATCTGATGAACATCTTGGAGCGTCCACAAGCGTGTGGATGTTCTGCGAATGAGTGCGATGGCCTCACTTGCGGTACGGTTCGTTAGCACGACCGCACAATATCACAGTGTAGTTGATCACTACACTGTGGAGCAAGCTCCTGGCGGCTGTACAGAATTACAGGCTGAGCCGAAGGTCCACCACTCGACAAGTCGAGTGGACCGGGACATGGATGCATGCCTAGCGGGCAGCATCTTAGAATTAAGAAACCTGTTGCCTCCAAAGGGAAACATGGACATCCTAGGTCGACTGGAGAGTCGACCGTAGAGGATCAGTTCCTGACTGTGGTTGCACAGCCACAGTCGGAAGACGTCGAGGGAATAAGTCCCCACGTACTTGAGGAAGTAATTCCTCAAGAGTCACTTGATGAAGGATCAGGCCCTCAGAAACCTGTGGAAGCAAGTTCCCAGGAAGTAACCGAGACGTTGAACGTCTTGGTTAATGACGGATCAAGCGTAGGCGCTTATACGCTTGATCTGATTGTGCCTCCGAAGTTAACTTCGGAGATAACTCAGTTTACAGCGCTAGAACCGAAACGGTTCTTGCGTGATCTGCGTAGTGGCAAAGTCAAGCAGATCTGCATACTCGTCACAGAGGATGAGTATGTGGCCGATATTCGGTCGGCAACAGTATTTGCTGAGAACGAACGGGTTCTCAGCAGCTCATCGATGGACGAAAGTGTCCTCGATGAGAAGACTCGGATTGAGCGGTACAAGTCTCAATCCTGGGAGTCACTTCAGGCAAATCCTTTGTATAAGGATTTGACCGAATTCAAGGATGTATTCCCTGAATCCGTACCTTGCGAGTTGTCTAAGGACAAAGGCACTCGACACGAGATCGAGCTCAAACCGGGCTCGAAGTACTGTGTCATGAAGCAGTGGCCACTGCCTCGTGAACAAGTACTAGCGATCGACAAGTTCTTTGCCGATCGCTTAGCAGCAAGCCATGTGAGGGAATCAACATCCCCTCACAGCTCTCCGACCTTCTGTGTGCGAAAGGCCATAAGAGGATGGCGGATATTGCACGCATTCAACAAATTGAATGCTGCAACGGTTCCGGCTCAGACGCCGACACCGAGGAAGGACGTAATCATAGATGGTATGTCAAAGAATACCATCTTTTCGTCCATGGATCTGATGGATGGGTCCTATCAGATCCTCATGCGTGAACGGGACATCCCTTTCACGGCAGTGAGTACCCCCAGCGGGATGCTGTGGGAGTGGATAGTTATGACACAGGGGCTGAGCAATTCCCCTGCAACATTCAACAGATGTGTCACAAATCTGTTGAGACCGGTGCGAGACTTCGCACCGAGTTACTTCGACAATGTGTTCATCCATAGCCGGGATATGGACGTAAAGACGGACGTTGAAGTTCACAGAACTCACGTTCGTCAGGTTCTTCAACTTATGCGCAAGCATAAGTTGTACGCCAACCGCAAGAAGTGTATATTCGCGGCTAGCGAAATACCACTTCTTGGGTGCATCGTGGCACGGCGTACTCCCTGATCCCGAAAAGATCAAGGCGATCACCGACTGGCCAGTGCCAGTCGATGTCAAGGGACTAAGGAAGTTACTTGGGCTAGCGGCGTACTTGCACAAGTACTTGCGCAACTACACCGAGATGACTGTTCATCTTTTTTGCTTGCTCAAGAAAAATGTCAAGTGGTCATGGAACGCTGAGTGCCAGCGTTCCTTTGAGGTTATCAAGCAAAGCTTTATGCAATCGCCGATCTTGACGATTGCAGATCAGGACAGACCATTTCATGTGGTCTGTGACGCCAGCGATTTTGCAATCGGCTGTGCGTCAATGCAGTTCGACACAGATGGCGCGGAGCGCGTCATCTGTTATCAGTCGCGTCAGCTGCAAGTAGCTGAGTGCAATTACCCAGTGCATGACAAGGAACTCCTTGCCATGAAGTATGCACTGGCTAATTTCCGGGTCGATCTATTGGGAGATAGACCGTTCGTTTTCTATACGGACCATGCGTCATTACGCACGGCCGTAAACAGCCCACACCTCTCGCAAAGAATGGCGAGGTGGCTGTCTTTCTTCGCGGAGTATAACTTCTCCGTGGAGTATAAACCAGGACGACTAAACGTCGTCGCTGATGCGCTCTCGCGCCGGCCCGATTTCCAGCCGAACGCACAATTCAACAGTGAGGATAAGCCCACTGTTGCGACACTGTCAGTCAGTGTCCCGTCGTCAAGTTTAGTTGACGACGTACGAAAGGCATACGCAGAAGATAAGGATCTTCTGCGATTAATGGATCATCTGGTGCATCCATCCAGTAAATCCATGAAGGATTTACCAGCTTTGTACCGATCCTCATCGGATCGGTATAGTACACGCAACGGATTGCTGTACTATACAGCTGTTGCCGACGACACGCCTCGTGTCGTCGTACCCGCTCATCATGATTTGCGTTTACGCATCATGTATGAGTGTCACGATGCCCCAACAGGTGGCCATCGTGGTAGAGAAAAGACTTACCTCACGGTAAGTCGTGACTTATACTGGCCACGCCAGTATCAATTTGTCCGCAAGTACATACGTGCTTGCGAGGTTTGTCAACGGGTGAAGCCTAGTCCTTCATCCCGTGCGCCATTGCAGCCTCTGCCTGTTCCGACAGAGTGCTGGCAGTCCGTTTCAATGGACTTCGTCTTCGGTTTTCCCGAAGACGCTCACAAGAATAATGGTATTCTTGTGTTTGTTGACCGGTTCAGCAAGATGGTCCATCTTGCTTCTGTACCCGAGTTGATAAAGGCTCAAGGTTGTGCTCGTGTCTTTCTCAGCACGGTCTTTAGAATTTACGGACTGCCCCGTGAACTCGTATCCTACCGTGGCCCTCGGTTCACGGCGGCATTTGGGCCAACCGTGTTCCGTTCTCTCGGAACACGATTGAAGATGTCTACTTCTGACCATCCCGAAACAGATGGTCAGACGGAACGTGCGAACCGTGTCCTCGAAGAGATCCTTCGAGGATATGTCCACTCGTTTCCGAGTTGGAGCGAATTCCTACCCATGGTGGAATTCGCCATCAATAATTCAATGCATACTTCCACACAGCACACACCGTTTTACGTGAATGGCCTACGCCATCCACGTGTGCCCGCCCTTTTAGAGTGTGACTCTTGGATAAGGGGGAGGGATTCGCTCGAGCAAAAACCGTTTCGGCTCTTGCTCATCACGTGTCGACGCTAACGTCGTCACGTATGATGCCGATGTCGATCAGGTCGACATCGATGAAGAAGATCACCTCAATAATAGCGACGACGCTATTACTGACTCGGATAATGATGATGATGCTGGTATATTCAGCATCTTCAACGATTATTCCAGCGAGGAAGAAGACAACCTCGCTGAAGAAGAGAGCAATCTCTTAGCAGTGCGCACGAAGCGCACTGAAAGACAAAACAAAGAGTCAGCAGAGAACTTCCTGCTGACTCGAGAGGCGGTAGTCCGTTTCGTTCAGGACTCCATCGCAAATGCGGTGGACCTTCAGAAACGGAACGCAGACAAGAATGGAAGAGCAAATGTTCTTTCATTTAAGGTTAACGACCTAGTACTACTGTCTACGGTAAACTTACCTGGACATGCAGTCACTAGTGTCGGCAGTAGTAAACTACTGCCGAAGTACATTGGGCCATTTCGAGTGTTGCATCGCAAGGGCAATGCATACACACTCGAATTGCCACGTAGGATGCGCACGCATCCTACGTTTTACGTGGGGAGGCTTAGGTCGTACTGTCAGTACGAGCCTTCTTCTTCCGATGAAGATAGCCCCACGTTCAAGAACATCCATCAAGTTCTTGCGTTCGCGCTCCAGACGATCCGTCTGGTCGCGCAGATATGATACCTCGGTACTCAACCGAGATATCTCCCCGCGAGCTGTCGCCAGCTCGCCGAAAAGGAGCGGACATCCCGCTCGACCTGAAGCTGCGCCGTGGCATAATCGGCGCGATCCCTCGCCCGATCAGCCTCGTGACCCTTGCGGTTCTTCCGCACGGTATCAGTCAAAGCGTAGCGTCGGTCGCGATCGTGCTTTAAGTCATCGCGCAATTCATCGATTGCGCGATCCATCTTGTAAGGGTCGAGATGGTGAGCCGAATCATCTGGAGGAGGTCTTTCCTCCTCCACCACATCCTTTGGTGGATGCTCACGGTGGACAACGCTTTCTAGTGAAGCGTATCTTGAACCACCGTGACGATTCAGGATCAAGGACGAGCTACCTCGTCCAGTGGCGGGGGTATCCACCCTCTTGGAACATCTGGGAGCCCCGCTCTCAGCTGTTGATGGATGTTGAAGGTCTCGTCCGCCAATATGACGAGACTCATCCGATGAGTCCTTGGGCCCATCGGTAAGCACGCGCTTTTGGCGCTTGTCGACGGATTGCAAGTTTGCAATCGCGTCCCGCATCTCAGCCGAAATGTGTGCCCTTCCCCAGGGCAAACTTAGGGAATACACGTCCCTATGTGCACGCTGCGAGTTGTCAACACAACTCGCACAAGTATGTCCCCAAATGAAGCAAGGAATGTCTGCCTCACTCGACAAACGATGCAATTGGTACCTTGCACCGGTTGGCGTTCACTTCTCAAACTTGAGGCGTACCGCCTCAAGTTTCTTAAGCCACCCTTCTCGTCCAAAATTCTTTACGTTTTGGACGAACGCGTTCCACGCAGCCAAAAGCGAGTTTTTGTCACGCTTTTGGTTGCCGTTGTGCCATCGATGTCTAAGGAAGACATCGAGATAAAATTCTTCCTCAGCGCGAAAGTTGCTCGCGCTGGGATTCAAGCCGTGAAGCTCAGTCGCATCGAATAAGGGTATTCGATGGTGTTGTCTTGTCTCGTGAGAAAAGCCATTCATGAGCCGTTCAGGAAAACGCCACGGCTTCAGCTCATCACGCTTCACAGTGGTACCCTTGTCGGTACCACGCTTGTCCGTATGACGATGGCTTGCACCATCGTCAGGTCGCTCGTGCGAAGGAGCACGAGCTGATTGCGGTGATGAGCAAACATACTCATCGTCAGATTCATCATCACTGCCGAACATACTGTGTTGCAACTCACGAGTCCGTTCGTTCGGCAGTGGCCTTGGCGAACACTGAGGCGTCGCCGGTGATCGAGACGCCTCTGCAGTATTGCCCGAGTCGGACACGTCTGACTCGCCAGAGTAGATGACCTCAATGTCGGGGTCATCATGCGCACGCGGTGCTGTACCGCGTGCACCTGCAGCACCTGTTGCTACAGGCGAAGAACGAGCAGCAGACGACGAATCGTCTGCCGCAGAGGCTGGCACAGCACCGGGATGTGCGGGTCTTGAGTCACCTCGCATAGACATGTTAACTATGCGAGGTCAAGCGGAAAGTGAATGGAACGGACCCAACAAGTGCTCCCTATCCCAATGGTGGCCAACGGGTGGCCGCCATATTTTCGATAGTCACACGGTGACTATCAGTTAAGGGGGTGATGTAACGGGGCAGCCCGTTACATGGAATTGTCATTTTAAAGAAACAATGACAATAAAGAATATTAAGCTGAATATTCTTTGAACAATATCACCAAAGTGGTGATATTGAAGGGTCGACCAAAGAGTCTGTTCATTGGTTGATATCTTGGTGATATCAACCCACCAATCGCCGCAAGACGCGCGCAATGAGTGGTGACGAGACGTCACCATACACTCAGTTATATTAACATAATTAAGTCAGGTTAAACAAAGAGACAGTAGCAAAACGACTTAATTATATTAGTACAACAGTTTTACTTTTTCCTTATTCTAAGCTTCCTCGTTTGCCTCGTGTACGTCTGTCGGGGCACCAAAAACCCTTGCGTTAAGTTCACGCAAGGATGTGCCCCGTTACACATACCATGCGGTCGTGAATGTGCCGTTAGTACTACATCATGTGATAGCTATCGATATCAAAGCAACTGGTAGTCGGCCACCGTACGCTAATCTGACAGGACATCTGAAGCTACCACCCAAGGTATGATATAGTTTGCTTGATCCAAGAGGATGAAGCTCGACAATCCGCAATCCAGGTCGTGTATTACGCCTTTGACGCACCTATCGATTTATGCTCCCAGGCGTATACGTGATCCAGAGACTGATGGGACCTTTGTTTAACATGCCGTTCGGCGTGAAGATGCACGCCAATGGAAATCTCTGGTGCCTCAACAAAATTTCCAGTCCCTATAGCCGAAGATTGGTCTACTGGTGCTCGGTTGCGCCGAATGTGTGAAGAACAGATGAGTAAGACTGTGTCCCAATGCGCTGGAGCCGGAGATCCACCAGTGAACAGAGCCAAAGTTTGTCAGATTTACGCGGCTTCAAAAACTCCCCATGGAGGTCAAAAATTCAGGGGTTGTCCGCTTACGAATGCTTCGGTCAGAAGAATTCCTCTTTTGGTGCCATTAAGAGAGAGCGCCGAGAAAGAGGCTGAGCAATTGACAATGTCCATTTGTGTGTTGTAGTCCAACTTAGGGATGTGGAGGCCTGATTTGTGAGCTCTGCGGAGTATAAAAGTGATGCCGGTCGTCCTGATCCTGGATAGAAGGAGCTAGCCAGGGACTTGGGAACTCCAGAAGAGTTTTTTTTAACTTGCGGCGACTATTAGAAGACTGCTGCACCCGAATGACGAGCGTCGGAATGCTCGCAGTCGCTGCCGACCGCGCACCGCGGAACGCTCACACCCGCCAGGCCTGATGATATAGGTCTTGACGCTGAGTGCTCACTGTACAGAGTGTTTAACGTCGCTGCGTCTTACACTCGAGCAATAGGGATCTCGTTCTGACAGCCACAAAAATTAATTTGAAGACTACGAAGATGCTGTTCCTCCCATACTGGAAGGTCAAATGTCGCTGCTGTAAACAACATACCTGCAGCAAATTGACATTTTAAAATAAATAAGCGGCACTCGACAGTGGTCGCCAACTGACTTGCCGTTGCTAACCGCCGCTGAACATTACAAATTCGTGCTCCCCAGTTTACATCTATGAGGCTTCCCATTTCCTCTGCGCAGTTCAGATACCTCGTCGTGTCGCCGTGCCTCAGCACCTGAATGCTGAAAACGTTTCTCTTGTAAAACAGATGAATCGAAGAAATAGACTTGCTTTACTTGATTGATTCTCAAGCCAGATAATTGACCAAATTGCTGCACATTGTCCAACCATACGGCAAATACCGCGCCTTTTGCAGAAAAATGGCCGAGTCGTCAACGACTGCCGAAACATACTACTTGACCTTCCACCTTGGGGCGCGCTAACACCCGCCACCTGATAATCGCCGTAAATCGCCAACGACAGCACTATCACCGCTATAATAGAAAGCAACGGAGCCAGCGTGCATCCTAGCCAAATGCCTGATAAGACTTTGCGCAGCTCTCATATCTCGCCGTTGATGACACATTAACACTAGATATGGAAAATCATGAGCATCTATGTCATACGCTTTACTAGAATCGAGTAAGCGAGTATATTTCTCTGCATATCCGCAACCGCAGGCTCAGAAGACGCCGTGTCCAATGCCGTTATCATCATCATAATTATTTGGCTCAGCTGACGTCCATGAGTGAAGCCTTGTTGTGAACCACCAATGAGTGCCCCTAAACCTTCTTGCACTCGTGACGCCAAATATTTTGCGAAAATATTGTGACCTGTTTAAAGACGGGCGATATGTCTGTTATTCATCGCATCGTCAGCGTGTCCCTTCTCACGAAGCGGGATGATGATACCATATGAGAAGGATCTAGGCGTCTTGCCTTCTTAGAACAGCTCATTTCCGATTTCTACCATTGCAGGAACCATAACCTACTAAGCATCATAAAAATTCATAATTGTATAGACCATCTCTACCTGCAGATTTGTGCCTGTTGAAAGCTTTAGCAGCCTGGATCACTTCCTGTAGCGTAATTTCGCGCAATAGTTGCTCGCCGTCCGAAGCTGAGACGCGTTGATGCGATGGGATATGGATAAAGGCCTCGAAGGCAATCCTCAGATAATCAACCGGCGTACTGCTCTAGCCTCCGCCTAAAAATGAGCTGTCATTCCGACGCAAAACGATACGCGAACGACAATTCTATCCTGCAAGTAGCTTCATTTATGTGTCCAATCGTACTCGCAGATTGGTCCCATTCGTAATAACACAGCCTCTCAAATCCATCTCAATTGATCCATAGTGCGCCCCAACCGTTATCCTATAATAATTAGGTGCTCTTCTCGGTTTTCTTCAACTAAAAATTCCAGTATATCCGTGCGCGTCTAAAGGTGTGTGTGATTTTGCGCATGTACCCGGTGAATTAAAGTGTTCCTTTGTTGACGCGAGCGCTTACGTAATATGATACAGCGTATGCACTTCTCAGCTGTGCTATTTCAAGTAGAAGCCGTGACGTTCTTGCCTAGTCTCGCAGTGGTGATTGCATCGAGAAACTCTGGAACAATTCGTGTAGGGTGTGCCAACGGTATTGCATACCCCCGACGTCACCGCGCTGTACTGCCACGAAGCACGCTGTCTTGTAAGTACAATTGTACGCGCTGATGATCATAAGGCACTTCGGATTCATCTACCGAAACCCATTGTACAACGGACGCTCGATCTGCGGCACGTAAAATCGGTCAATCCGACTGGTCGAACCGGGTCCCTAGTAGGTACAAAATTGATTGGATCGGTGACATCCATTTCAATGGTCACACTGTTGCATACAGTGCAAGCATCCTCTAACTCAAGGCTCTTAATTATACCCTGTGGTGAGTAACAAACTGGTCTATCCGATCTTTCTTCGCCGAGGTGATCCAAGGCTGAACTTTGCATGCAATCACAATCTCTGGATACAATAGGATCGTGTTGGTGCCACGTCCACCGCTGTAGCTTGAAAAAAGTTATGCGTCCGCGAGGAAGTTGGAGGCGTAAACATTCACTAGACAATAGTCGCCAATATTGAATTCAATAATCCGGTTTGTCGAGCGTTCACGTTACCAGCGTAGAGACAAGTCCGATACATTCTAATATGATGGAATCGCCACCCCTACAGACGCGCTATGATCTACACTCTAGTACGACAGCGGCGACCCATCCTACCAGTGCGGCTCCCCATAACTAATTCAATCAGCCGTTAATCTATCTGACCCCTCATAGCTGTGGACGTGTTTTTCTTGTATAAAATGCTAATGGTCGGGCTCGCATAGGCGTCCGTCTCCATGTTATGAAGAATTTAATCAGAGACCTGGCTTTTTACCCCGGATGTTTCGAAACTTCATTCGGCTGTGACTGAACATTGTGCCCCGACGAAGCAGACTGAGCTCGCTTCTGTCGGCCTGCTCAAAAATGATGGCGGCCGTAAACGTATATAAGTGCCCCGTCCTTGCAATGTCCAGACGCTGCAGGTCGCAGGCTCGGACTGACCTTAGTAACCAGGACGGAGGTCTCCCCTCCCCGCATTCGAAGACTCCGAAAAAAGTCGCTCGATTGCAATCCAGTCCACCGCATTCATTGAGTATGCAAAACGACTGTCGATGCTCAGGTATCTGTTTTAGCGCCGTTAGATGATAAGTAACTCGGCAAATCGGACTCTGATCGACACAATTCTTCTGCCCTAGCAACACTGAAACTCTGTCTCGTAGAGATGGACACATGTGATATGAGCTGCAAAACCGATCTTGTTACATACTTCATACAATATTAGTACAGCGTCGATCCCGTACGAATTGGTACGCAGCCGGACCCGATCATCTCCACTGTTGTCCAGGGACGACAAGCTTAGGGGATCTGGACGGAGAAATTTGTCCTTCCACGCGTTCAACCATATAAGAGTTGGTCTGTCCGTCGTCTGATCTCGATATGAGGTCAACCGTGCGTAAACGCAGCTCCATCTTCACTCTGCCATCAACAATACCATCACACGATCATAGACCGCCATCAGTACTTCTTACGAGAACGTAAAGCTCTAAAAAATATGAAACAGATTCTCCGGCTTTCGCTGCGTCGTTTGTATATAAGCGTCATCACTGCTGGTAGCTAAAGAAAATTGGTGTGGCCATAGAAGGCAAATAAGTCCCTTGTTGTTTCCATTGCTCTTGACAGGAAACGCAAGAGCTTTCCCATAACTCAGGCATTATCAAGGTCTACATTTCCAGCATGGAAACATCCTGGTTGGAGTTGCGCTGATCACCATTTTAATCCACATTATTTGTCGAAGTTGTTCACATTCCGCCGGAGAAGTTGAGTGCGCCCCTTTATATGCCACCGGTGGAGTGACCGGTTTCATTGTAGTGCATACCGGTGCGCCAAATGAGTGGTTAGAGGCGCCAGTGTTTAGGAGGGTCTCTGAACGTCGACGGGTTGAG